AAGACTATAAGCAAAAGTAGAAGAAAAAAAGAAAAAACAACATACAACAAGATTAGTACTCTTCCCCAACATTTCCCTAGCAAAGTTTCTCCCAAACTTCTCCTCATAACCCCTCAACACCTCCCTCAAATGATTATCACTCCTCAAACAAACAATCTCAATCATTCTCGTCTCACCCCCCTTCTCACTCGTGACACACTTCTCCAACTGTCTAATATCCTCTCTCAGTAAATCGCCATCAATCCTCCTACTCTCCTCCATCCTCTTCTCATCCAACACTAGCAAAACCGCCTTCTTGAACTTATCCTCCTTGAGTTCCTTCTCCATACATTGACGCAGAGAATCGCGATACTTCTTATCACTAAAGCCATCCTTAATCTTCTGAATCTCGCGATTCGATCGTCCCATCAAACTCTCAATGAGTAATTCCCTACGAGATTTCTCTCCTTGATACCAGAAATTAGCCCAGTAGGCTTCACTCTCCCATTGTCCCAAGGCAACCGCATAACAAGCTTTCATCAAACTAGGATCTTCATCCTTGAGACGCAGCTTAATATGTTTAGCGATATTGACACCTTTCCTTTCATGACCCGTTTTAACAATCTTCTTATACTCGGTACGCAAATCGAGGATTTGCTCATGAGTTAGGCCCGGGAGAATGGTAATTAGGGGATGGACATCCGGAGCACGATTTTCCCCTTTCAATGCATCGCGGAGCATTTCGGCTTCGTCTTGGGCATCGTGAAAACGTGCCGTGCGGCGAAAGGATCGATCTTCCCCTGATGGGGATAGCGGAGAGAAGGTCTCGGAGATGTCGGAGTGGGAGGTGACCATGAGCATTGGGGAGGGCATAGGGGATATAGATTGATAGGTTCCCTTGTAGGATTCGAGGAGGGGAGATGCAGGGGCATTGGCTAGACTGAGAGAGTGGGAGTGAGAATGACCGCCGGGAGATAAGCTCAGGGAGCCATGGGATGAGTGACCCAGATGCCCACTAGTGTTGATGCTTAGGGTATTGAGTCGATCGCCCAGTCTAGCAGGATTGGGGGAAGCATCACGACGAGAACTGACGAATGATTCCGAGACGATTCGAGAGCTACTGCTTCGAGCCGACGCACTCTCATGTCTAATATGTCTCGGAGGTGAAGAATCCCTATGAGCATGACCTTCCCCCCCAATTACCGTCTTCCGAGTCGTACTGGAAAAGGAAATCTTATCACCAGGCTGTGCATATTTCCACGCCGCCGGGTCTGTATATCTATTATGTTCATCTTCTCTCTTGCCATATCCAGCACTTACATATCCACCTCCAGCCACAGGACTAGCTGGAGTACCATATCTTGCACCTGGAGGTCCAGGACTAGAAAGATCGGAGAATTGAGATCCGGTGGACGATTGAGCATAAGAATGCTCATGACCAATACTCACACCACCAGCGAGAGAGCCATGATGTTTTCCGACGCCGGCAGAAACATTAAAACTTGCGGATCTCTGACGACCATGGGTCTCCTCAAGTCTGCGACTATCAACGCTAAGATCATGCTCGCGAGGTGAGGCCAACCGGTCGCTGAAGGTACTATAAGTGGGAGTATGAGCATCCTTCCCATAGCCTCCCGCACTTCTCGGAACAGCAGCTGGAGAAGGCTCACGAGAGCCATAAACATTGATCTTGGCCGGAGTACCCGGTATGTAACCCTCTCCATAAGTCAAATTGTCAAACTGAGCCGGAGTATGCAATCTCTCATTATCCCTATCCCTCTCCGTGTACCGCACCTCATCAATCTTCAAGGTATCGGGGATACCAGCTCCAGTCGTGCCACCAAATCTCGATGCACCGAATCCCGTCGTAGGATTTGGGCTTGAATCCCTGTATCTGTTCCTGCCAGTGCGAGACTCATCATAGTCGAAACCTGGCGGTGTAGGTGCGTTTACTCCCTCCACTTCATATCCAGACCTCGAACGCGATCTTTCGCGTCCGGGACTCTTACTCCTACCCCTCATTTGTGAATCTCGCGGATCGAGCGACATCGTTTGGTTTGATTCCTTTGAAATGTGCAAGGACTTGTCGAAGAGTGATCAGCTTGCAAGATTGCAATTCTGCGAGTCTGTAAGTATGTAAGACTGGGATTTGCGTAATTGTCGTTTGCTTCGTAAAAGTTCTTCTCCCTCGTTACACGTCGTACTCCTCTATATATATCAAGAAGCTTAACTCCGTTTCTCCTCCTTCCCTTGAATTCACTCGATCCCAAGCTGAAAATCCAGCTCCCACGTCCCGAGGTTCGAAATGAGGGTCTCTCGTCTGGTCTGTCTGGTTTGGCCTGATCGAAACGAAGCTCGTGTGATCAAAAATGGGTTTACCCAGAATCAACCCTTTCAAATTCTTCAAAATTCTTCAAAAATTCAATTCCTCAACAATATTTCACAGACAATCTTTACCTGTAGAATTTACCTTTACTCTGTAGTTCTACAATCCTTTGAAACACGTACAAACATCACCAGTACAAACATCACCAATACAACACCGTGTACAAAATCCTATCATCCTACCAATTTTTTTCAGCTCCCCCTCTTTACTGGGGCCTCTTTACTGGGTCCTTCTGTGGTGGCACCTTTACCTTCCCATCCCAGTCCCTCACCTCACTGATTAAATTTAGTATCATCCTTGATTGTTCACGCACCACCATTCGCCATTTGTTGTCAACATATGACAGGCTACAGGCGGCTTACGGAGTACTGTGTGCTGCAATGCATGCATAGTACATGATCACTAGCTAAATCCGGTTCTGCCCAGATGTACGAGGAGATGATCATTATTAGTTATGATTTGTTGTTTAAAGTTTTTCTGGCTTATTTTCTTCCGCGGCAAACTTCTTGGACGTACGGAAATATTGCGACGAGTGGACCCTTTTTACTAGAGTAATGAATGAATGGCATGGGGAACGGCAGACCTCTAATTAGTGGGGATTACGTAAGATCATTCTTTAATGCTGTTTACACTACTCGAGTATCAATCGACAATAAAACACTAAAACACCCTTCAAAATTGAAAAATTATTATCATTATTTCGCTATTGAGACTTAATCCTTAGCTCTAGCTCTAGCCTTGGGTGCAATTTTGGTTATCCACACATAACGCCGTATTCCATGAATCTCCATCCCAAACCAAAGCTATGCTGCAAATCCCTGCTGAACCTCATTGAAATGCGGACCCTCAAACCGTAACAAATTGTCCGATTGCGGGGATGCCATCTACAAGAATGTAAACAACATATGGTCCAGGTGGTGCCACATTGTTGTTTGGTGGTCGGGTAACAGTCAACTTTTGCTGTGTTGCACCAGCGACGAAGCCTGTGTTATCCAAATGCAGCATGCGATGACCCATGTGTACTGAATGAGTGACGAATCCACCGTGATACAAAGTCACAGTCACTGCTTTTGCGCCAGCTGGGCAATTGAAGGTAACGTCGAGTGTGCTGCCGTCTGCTTTGAAGCTGCCTGAAGACAATTTCACATTGGTTGGACGCTTGTTGGCATTGTCACCTGAGAGATATGGAGGAACATAGTTCTCCACTCTGAACTCTGTGACGAATTCGTCGGCCGCATCAGGCTTGAGCTTTGGCATCTCAACAGGGTTTGAACCAGCGACCATGAGTGTACCATCAAGGAGGAGAAGGGAGACGGAATGGTAGAGACGTGGGATGGTTGAAGTGGCAAGAGTTGAGAATCGTTGACCCTTGGCCTTTGTGGGATCGTAGAGAAGAGCTTCCAAAGTTGGGGCCTTTGCAAGTCCAAAACCTTGAGCACCCAAATTACCTCCGTTAAGCCAGATGACAGTTCCGTCTGGAAGTAAGTTTCCTTCAACCATACCACGACCTTCAGGCATAGAATCCAACTCCCATGTGGGGTTTGCACTCAATGGCTGGATCCTTCCACAACTTGGTTCCGTAGGGCTCGTGATATCTTGATATGCACCACCACCGCAGATGACGATATCAGGGTTCCAGTTGTTCGCGCTTGACAGTGGGAGCAAAACACTTCCACCAGTGTTGGGATATGTGCGGTAGTCTCCTGCGAGTTCGGGTAGTTCCTTGACAATGCTATTGGTACCCACATTGAAGATTTGAGAAGACTTTGAGACAAAGATGAACAAATTTCCATCATTGAGGAGATGGACAAAAGGGTACATGTAGTAAGGTTGATTCTTCACCAAAATTTCCAAATCAATGTTCTTGCCTTGTGAAACTGCGGTAGGACTGAGGATCTCGTAGGTAGGATTGTTGTTCGTGTTGACAGTTGGATCGAGGCCGTTTAAACTTCCGGAAGCGACGAAGATGGTTCCATCAGCCATAGTTTGAGCCGTAGCATACCAACGAGCACTTGCGAGCTTGTTTCCTGGCTCACTCCAGTCTTTGCCTGTCAGACTAGCGTCCGTAGAAGATCGCTCAAGGTATCGAATAGCGGTGAAACCATCACCAATGGTTGGATCAAGCCATGACAAAGGTGCATTACCTCCAAGAGAAACAACACGACCATCTGCAAGGAAAGTACCTCCGGAGCAGAATGCGTTTGTCTTGTAAGCTAGAGGCGCCGCAACACCATTAGTTGCTGGATCATACTCTGAAGACATGGCGTAATTTCCGTTTGGCAATCTCAATTGGGTGTAGTTCTCCAACTTGTCGAGGAACATAACCCGACCGTTTTGCATTAATGCTGCGTGCATAGCTGGAACTCCAGATTGGCCAACGATGTTGAATGCACCTCCTACCGGGGCAGCTGGGGCGGGACTTGCACCTGGGGCTGGAATCACTGGTCCATTCAAACAATTTCCTGATTGACATCCGGCACCGCAATGAGCATTGGTGTTACCGCTATTTTGTGTTAGGCTCTTGAAACTTTGCGATTGACGATCCAACTTACCAAAATCCGTACATGGAACAACAATTTCCGTTTGGCCAATTACCGCAAACAGTACCGCCATTTGCAGTACCACATGATCCATCCTTAGTTACGGGTGCGTTACTTGCTGCAGCAGGGGAGAGTGTAGAAGTAACCGGAGCAATCACTGGTTCTTGGGAAGTAGACGAGGGTGCTGCGTTACCGCCAGCTGCAGTGGTTGTAGACTGTGCAACGGTTGTAGACTTTGCGTCTGTGCATCCATTCTGGCAGCCACTCGAGACCAAACAGTGATCAGGGGTAGAACCACAATAGCTAGTAAGGGTGGAATCAGCATTTATTCCACAAAGAGAGCATTTCAAGACTGAAATAGCACAAATCGATATCGGGGAAAAGCATGACTTACCCGTATGAAGAACAACAACCACCATATGCTCCTTTTGCATCACAAGTAGCACCACCAAAAGCCTATTAAGGTCAGTATATCATTGACACCATAGTACAATTTTACAGGGCCTTACAGAGCCGCATCGACCATCAGGTCGAGGAGAGGTACCAGCCGGTGTTGTATTTCCGCTGGTGCATCCAGATAAACAACCAGCTCCACAGTGACTATAAAATCAGTAAGTACTCATGGATTATAAGAATATTGGTGTACTCACGCATCATCATTTCCACACCAGCCGTATGACTATTTTCTGAATCAGTTGCTGATCATCCATTCTTTTTTGATGACCTACCGAGCAGCATGATCCTTTATAAACTGTACTGTTTGGATCGCAAATAGTGTTACCATTGGCAGGACCACAGGTACCGTCTGTTGAATAGACAGCTTGTCTTGGTTCGATGGTTCGATCTTTGACGGGAACTGGGTAATAACGAGATGGCATGGGAGTGGTTGGGACATAGCATCTGTTTGAATGATTAGCTCTATACTGTGCATGTAGAGTCAGAGATCACTCACTCCCCGGTTCCATCGTCAGTACAGTTCTGGCCTTCGAGACAGCCATAGTACAGATTCTGGCTTCTAATATCACACTTTAAAGGAACATGATGGAAGACGATGTTGGCGGAAACAGTGGCGATGAAGCCCAAGGAAAGAAAGGTAGCCTTCATGGCTTCTAAAGGTTACTTTGAACAGATCAGTATTAGCGTAAATTCAATACAGAGGTGAGCGACAAGTGGAGACAAGTAAATATTGGAAAGTTGAAGGAAGTTGGAAGATACAAAAGGAAGATGAGGATTAGAAGACTTGGAAGTATCGTGAAATATTACATATCTCCCAGCCTCGCCTCATTGCATTGTAACCAAAGGCTGCGCAGATTAATAAAAACAACATTTACCCATTCACTGGGTAACCGCAATATATTACTGCGCCGTTTGACAACAACTTGTGGTAGATTGATTACATCAAGGTGGGCAGGCTGAAGTAGCGTGGATAATGAGACATTTTGACAACTCACTTTTCTCGTATGATAAGATTTTATTACACAAAAACCAAAGCAATGCGATTGCTCGTATGTAGTAAGAGGGTGATTATTCTTCGACCAGGTGAATTAGTTGGAAAGCGGTAAGATCATAGGATTCGATGATAAAATATAAACAATCTTTTTCAAAGGAGTGGACAGCAAGCCCGTGGAAAGATCAAAGTCTTGCGAATAGGTGATTAATAGGAAAATAGTATGTGAGGGCTTGCTAGGAGTGAAGGTGTAAGGTGTAAGGTGAGGTTGAAGATGAGGAGAGATGGTAGGTAATTATTACGGGTGAGAGAATAAGTAGATGGAAGAGAAGAGAAAAAGATGAACGAAGATAGAGGCAAAGAGATGATGGTATATATTAAAAGAAGTAAGAGCCGGTTTCCCTAGTAGGTTCTTTCCAAGATTTACTTAGTATGCAAATACTCAAAACGCTAATTTGTGATTGGTCTATTATTTTCATTTATAACAAACATCTAGAGTCAATTATAGGAAAGAGCGGATGCTGAAAGTAGAAAAATAGGAAAATCTGCTTTTCTATGCACTTCAAGCGTGAAAATGCTTCTTTCGTCCAATATTGCAAGGCCGTTGTTGCCGGCTCCTTGACCTACTCCGTCCTCACTACCAATTGATTAGTTAGAACTTAGTACCTACCTACCTACCTACCTACCTACCTACCTACCTACAGAGTAGAATCTCACCAACCAACGAGAACTTTTGCATTCGGACCCTCTTACTTATCCTGGGCCTTATGATTCCAAGGGACCTGCGGTTATTTTGCAAAGGACAGCAAAATAATATGGATTTCAAAGACCATTCAGCGAATTAGGGTGCGTCGCATTGATAATTATAGCATTACCGTATGCAAGAATGATATATTCTAGTTAGCTGGGTCTGTTTGTGCCGCTGATGGTGAGTTCGAACTTTGGTAAGTTTTTCTTACACGAACACAGACAGCCAAAACTGCAAGTTCTATAAGCTAATTGGTGGGGGTTAATCGCAGATCAATTAGATTATTTAGCAGATCTTTTTAATCTAATTATTTAATTGGTTCACCACCTTTAAGCTTCTTTCTTGCTCCAATGGCGTGTTTCAAAACAAACATCCAGAAATTGGAAAGGCTAATGTGCATTGACCTAATGGTCGGCAGACTTCCTTGTAGACACATAGAGAACCCCCGCAAAGAGGTCTCTTAAGCGCTTTAGTATGAAATTTTTGGTTAGAAGCTCGTATCTGCTTGAAAAATAAATGGAGTCCGAATTGAAAATGTGACAAGATAGATTTTATCATTGATTTTTTCTACCACAATTGAATGCCCCGTGGCAAAAACCATCTCTAATAAGTATACAATAGTTAAGAGTAACCTTAAATGTGAATTGCTGCATGCAATGGGGGATAAACGTGGCACAGAGCCCAAAGAGGTTCTCGTTCCCTAATTTAGCGACACAGCTGTTATGCGCTTGGATCCATTCGCACTTATTCATTGTATCCCTCAACCTCCGAATTGGTGGTCTTTGGTCGGAATTTGTGACCAGGTCTCGTGGCACAGGGGCTGGTCAAGATTGATGAGGCCTGAATGCAGGGACCGATCAATCTAATCTGTATGCTCGCTCGCATAAAGGCGTCGACAAAGTGAGCAAAGGATGCATGCTGTGATGCCCAAGTCACGAGCACACGCAAATTTACTCATCCGATCTCTGCCCGCACCAAGCAACTCCATCGCTTTTGATATCTAGGTATCAATATTCGAGGGTGCATCTTGTTATGAGGTTCGTGTGATTTCGAGATGGCATCTGCTGGCCATACCTCGTATATGCCGTAAGAGTCGGCTTGCCTTTAAGTTTGATCATTTGATTTCCATATGACCAATCGTCTTTCACCAGTTCAAATCTGTTTTCACTGTACCCATCTTTTGTTCCACGGCGTCAGCTTTAATTTGCTGTTTCGCTGGCACAGCTTCCTCTTCATTTCCCTCCATGAATTCCAAATCTAACGACCACCTTTGTATCTCCTCTTCCACGAGTCCTTCCCATTTCTTGAGCAAAGGGTGTGCTGCTGCAACGTCGGGAAATACAACATCTTTTCCTTCCTTTTCCCCTGGGACTTCAAATTTCCATATGCCATCCTCACCCCACCACTCCCTCGCAAACACCTTTTCCGTCTTTAATTCCTCCTTTGCACTCTTAAACAATTCTTCTAACCGGGATCTCTCATCCGTCCATTTTGTATCTTCGGATTTGGCGGCAGACACGGAAACTGCTCCAAAAATTCCTTCAAGTATTCCTATAACTTTTCCTATTCTCAAACCCAATACAGCACCCAGTCCATAGCCCTCGTCAAATCCTTTTTGAACACTTTCAGCCTTTCCTTTGGTTACACCGTCTCTATATCCTTCTGTTTCGTGTTTTTCCTTTAATCTTGGTATATCTGAAATTTCTGTATTCCCGCCTCCAAACGTGTCCCCATCGTGGCCATCTCTGACGTCAAAAGCTGGAGAACCTGGTTCAGAACCAAAGACATCGTCGAAATCGTCATTAAGAACGGCAGACTCGGATGTTAAGATGGAGAAAGCACCGGAAGACAAAGGAAATTCGTGGTCGCGAAACATTTCGATCGCGGTATTTATCAGTTTTGGATATTGGGTTGGAACAATCCATGGCGATACAAGTATTCAAAAATAAATTTAGTGATGAAGAACGCTTATCTAATCTATGCTAGCTGTGATTGGTTTTTAAGCCCCCCACCATCTATTAACCCCCTCCGCTTTTCTAATCATCAACAACAATATTCTGTCTGTTACCACGAACCAACAAAGTCTCCTCTATCATAGTATGTAGACAGATGGCCATTGAAGCCTTAGCAACAGTGTTTAGTAAAGACACATCATACATCAGCAAGCGATTTAATAATCAGCGAGGACTGCAAGTGCAATCACATGAGCTTTCATCAATACCTCAATACTGGAAATACAACATAGCAAGCAATAGGTTCTCTATTGTCGACCACTCATCTCCCAGCATAAAGTATGCAACCGAGAACAAAAACAATTCTCGAATCGAGACATCTTGCAACTACGGGAAAAGATGTAAAATTAATGCAAAAACAACAGAAGATTCCTTTTGGAGCTTGTCACCAGTTTCTCGGTCATTTCTTCCTCTGTGTTCCATTCAACCACCTCCCCCACCCTCTCCCCGTTTACTCGAGTATAACCACAATTCCAGCCATCTCGAGCACATACGACCATAGACTGAAGAGAATTGGGCATCCCGTCCGCTCTGCCATACACAAGCTTCAGATCGGTGGATTAGTAGTTGGGTGGGTGACCACCAGCGAATCCCTACTGTTGTATGTTTTCTTTTTGCTCTTTTGCCTTTATGTTTTGCTGAATTCGTGGCGAGTAAGCTATGTATTGAGCTTGATGTAAATAAACTGTGGTGTAAATGGGGTCAAGGTCAAGGAATCACTATCCGGGTGTTCCAGCAACAAATAATTCCGGATACAGATAATCCTAGGAAGGATCATACAAGAGCGAATTACTTTTATTAGAACCTACCAGCTACGCTACATAACAGACATAAAAAGCTTTCGTCGTAAAGGAATGTCGTAAGTTTGCCATGTCTCGCCGTGTCTAGGATCGTTCCCATGGAACTGCCTATTCCCATTCAAAAGCTACCCTCAATACCTTTCAATACGCGATTAAAGAAATCCAAATGTCCCACAAGTATTAGATCCTCCTCCATTATCTGGCCCATAGCATTACATAAATATCAAAAGAAATCCAATGCTATATATTGACGTCCCAAACCCATCTACAAAGCAGCAACTACAGCCGCAACAAGACCAACCATACCACCAACACCTGCCAATCCGACAGAATGCGCAGCATTCTGTGTGACCTCTCCAACTTTACTAGTGGCAGTCGGTTGGCCTGTTGTGAATGTCCCATTAGTAGGTCCAGAAGTGGTAGTTGGGCCAGTAGTTCTGGTATCGGAAGCAGTAGTCGAGGCTGGACCCGAAGTAGTAGATGAACCGGGAGAAGCCGAAGATGTTTCTGAAGTAGATGATTCGGTACTGGTAGTAGCGGTAGCGGATCCTAGATTGTCACATTGATTTGGCGCAGCTTGAGCTTGTTGTAACTCTCCGGGAGCAGTGCATGAGCCTAGGATACAGGGAACTATAGCGGTGAAGATGCCGGCCAAATTGGAGGGTTGACATTGGCAAGCTAGGTCTTCAATGTCACAATTGGTGCCTTGGCTGATGGCTTGAGTGATGCAGGGACTCTGTACAGTGGTTAGTGAACTGGATTGGGTATGAAAGAAGGAAGGAGTTAAAGAGAACATACCGCACAAGCAGGCTGACCTGGAAACTCAGCCGCAGAGACAATCGTGGCAGCAGCCAAAAAGATGATTGAGAACTTCATATTGAGATAGATTTCTACTTTAAACTTCGAAGAGAAGATTGTACGAATGATTTTTATGAATTGAGGAAGAAGCTATAATCAATTGAAGAGAATTGACTTGTAATTGAGAACGATGGAGAACAAAAGGATAGATGAGGGGTAAGCCTTAGATTTATATGAGAGCTTGCGCAACAAAGACTCGATTCCTTAGGTACACATCATTCCTTTCAATGGCGTAGGTACTGTAGATGGATACCAAGCAATGAATTTTTATTTTTTCATTCCTGAGAAAGGAGAAAGAAACATAGGGAGTTCTGTGGATGGATGTTCTTGTAATTTTTGATTCATATCCATCATTTTCTACTATATTCATTCTATTCTACTCCACTCGTCTCTTTTTTCCATAAATGTGAAGCCTCCCCTAAACCAAAAAATTCACCTCTATCGTTATCGTCTGTTTTAAAACTTATCGCGACCAGGAATGTAAATACGCCTAACCATCCATAAATTATCAGTAAAAGAAAGGCGGGAAATACAAATATGCGGGTATAAGTAAGAAACCTCCAGGAATAGATAGGCTGGAAAATCATCCGTAAAAACTCCGGAATTGGTAATTAATTTCACATGGTAATTTCACATGCATGTCCGCAATTGGATGTGAGATTCTGATAGTGGTATTAGTAGAAGGAGGAGATGTGGAGGTGCTATGTGGATGATGTGGAGGTGCTATGTGGATGATGTGGAGGTGAATGTGGCTGTTGACTTTTTTTGTGGGGGGCTTGGGGAAGCTCGATCGATGGTTCTTTGTGCGGGAATGGGTGTGTTATGATTAGCTAAGCTATATTGTAGGAGGTTGGAGGTTGGAGGTTTGATATTGGAAGTTGGTTGTGGAATCACATTCCTTGGGAGAGCTGGGCTGGGCTGTGGAAGCGAGGAATGTGGATTATGGATGGGTAGTGTTCTTTTTCTTTTTTCGATTAGGGAGCTATTCAGGTTGTTTTACCGAGGTGTACAGTAGCGTGTTGGTGTGTCTGTAATACTCGTATGCTTTGTTAAATTGAATTGCTCTCATAATTAGATGCCTTTTTTACTATTAAGATCATGTAAGTTTATTACTATGTGCTTCATATTTGTCTACCTTACTCTAATTCTCACTAACGGTCTCATAGAACACTTCTGTCTCTTCTAAGTTCTCTAAATAATTCTTGCAGACTAAACAGCCTAACCATGCGCGCCTTTTGCACTATGTATCTTGATAGGTTCCAAGTGTAGTGAAAAAAACCACTCACCCCTACTCTCCGGAAGTTGATGACGCAACTCTATATATTGAGGTAATACTATATTTGCTGTATACTGCTATGTTGCTGAGAGCGAAGAATATATGTTCAATACAATACCCGGCATCTCCTGAAGAAGCCGACATATATAGACTCTGAGATGTTTTAAGTTACTTAAGTATACCTTCCCTGTCCATAGAGGAGGGGACTTTTACAATGAATGCTAGGAAGTGCTTTGCGTCCAGGTCAGAGTAGAGAAATGTTGTGGATTAGATTTTCTACATATGGAAAACACTAAGTGGAAGATGAGAGTATTGCTTTTCCAGAATGTGGTTTGTAAACACAGCTACAGTGTATCGGTGAAAGCATACTAAAGGATCATTCCATTCATCAATATTAAAATAACCTTAAGTTTTGACCGTATACCACTTCTATTGATTACTTGTTTCGTAGCTTCTATTGATGAACGCCACCTTCAATTGTTGGAGATAGTAACATTAACAGCACATACGGCCCCCTTTAACAAGCCGAGATTATTCCTGTAGTGGCTTTGGTGATGTAATTACAATCCGCTGATGATTGATTCTGAAGATATGTACGTACCTTACTCACAGTATGGTTTTACAAGAAACAATGCTAAGCTCAAGGACATCATATTGGCAAATGATCGATTATACTAGGTTTGTGTGAATCTTCAAGAGTGAAGTTGCTAGCAAAGTTGACAAACACAATCGCGTTGTCAAAATGTATTCGTGTCCGAGATGGCTCATGAAGCAACTACAATGCATAGAACCGTAGCAACAGATCTTACAGAAATCGGTAATTTTGTTCGATAAAGTAGATTTGATTGCTAAAGTAACTCTTAAATATAATCTTACAATAGTCAGTTGTCGTCGTATCGTGCGGAGACAGGCTACTAGAGATTGCTGAGATAAATCGCGGGCATCTGACTCACATTAATGACGCAAGTTATACCGCAGGTTTATTCACTGGGTGGTTGTGCCATTGCTTTTGTGGTGCCCGTTGAGCGGAAATTTACAAAAGTAGTAAATAAAGTCCATCATGGAGTTATGGCGGATTCCACAACCACTCCCAAAGTGAACCCCCTGATGAACGATTCAGACTTCTGTTGCACACCTAGTCTCAGATCATTCCTGGAAATGCAGGAAATATATGATAATATCAGATATGGAAAGACTACAACAATTGGTTGATGATGGGCATTCACACAAGCTCCGATTGGCGCAAGATTCCATTTCCTGATCTCTTCAACGATGAGGATCCTGCTCATCTAAAGAAGGTCCTACTCGACGAGGATGACGATCCCATCGATTTAGCTCGGACAGGATGTCATGTGCTTTCTGGTAAGTTTGTATGAAACTAACCTAGAAGATTATGTGCTTAGGAATTATCTTATGTGCCAGGTATATTCAGAGGAATTGGTATCTGCCATAGGTCAAAAATATTTCTAATATTATACGGAGATATTGTTCAAAGAAAAATCAACATCAAATGATGGATCAAGTTTGGAGTAACATTCAAGGCTTGTACTTGCGAGCAGATAATATAGTAGATTTAGAACCAAAACGAGGGACAGTCCACAGGAAACATCGCTTCTGATAAAGTTTTATCCTCATCATATACTATTTTTCTAAGACATTGTGATTGTAAACTCATCAAACAGTAAACCGCTGAGTGTACTGATACTGATCTATGAGATTGTGCAAACCAAAATCAAACAACGGAGCACGCCTCTACTATTGTTGCTGCTGAGACCCGGAAGCCGGAGAATGAAGCCGGAAGACGAACCCGGACAACGAAGACAGGGACAGTTTACCTCGATCAAACTTCATCAAACCAAAAAAGTACCTATGCTCTGATTTCATGATTCGATATTGACACAAAAGGAAGAAAGGGAAGGTGCAGAGACGCAGAAACCACATGTATCGGTCTGACCGGCACGTATTGCTTGCTTATCGATAAGAAAGACCCCTGATTACTATTTACCGTACTCAGCACATTTCGGCTCGGCAATGACTCCTTCAAAAATAACCAAAACAATTAAAACAAACTCGGGGCCAATCAATGTCAGCCTCTTCTTTCAACATCTTCTATTTATGTCTTCATAATCTCTTCAATTCCCTGGCAATTCAGCCAGATATAATCCGCCATGTCTGCGGATATCCCGCAGACTGAAAATATCATGCCGTCCACCTCGAATTCCAACAATGAAAACCCCACCAACCCCTCCTCTCCTGCGGCAGTTAGCGGTCATTTGCGCGCGAGAACAAACACGGCGGAAATTGACAGTACCATCATTCATCCCGGAAGTGTGAAGATTAATGTTACCGGAGCATTTATAGTCGATCAGGATTCGGCTTCCCCGAAGGAATTGAATGTGAACGAAAGGAATTATGATACCAAGGATATCCGGCTGCCGAATCATACGGCGGTGGTCAGTCATATTGCTGTTGATGTACGAACCCATTTCTTTGGATTATAGCTATCTTTCCCGAAAGTTTACTAACATATGCCTAAGATTGGAGGTTCTTTAGCTAAACTCGTATACTTCTCCAGAGAGGCGCATTCGCGCGAACCAGGCGGAAGACTCAATTTTATGAACTTCGAGACGGATCGGATAGATGATTGTGTGGAATTCATGAAACAGTTGCAGATCAAGCAACAGAAACTCAATGGATCGAGACCAGGAGATCTATGTGTGATGGCAACCGGTGGTGGGGCATATAAATACTATGATAAGATTAAGGAAGCTCTGGGTGTTGATGTTATACGGGAAGATGAGATGGAATGTTTGATTATTGGTATATCTCTCATGTGACATGGCTTGGATGCTGTATAATGCTAACGGACGATTAAACAGGACTTGATTTCTTCATCACTGAAATACCCCGCGAAGTATTCACATATAGCGAAAGAGATCCTATGCATTTCACCTCGCCGAGCTCAGACATCTATCCATACCTCCTTGTCAATATAGGTAGTGGTGTATCCATGATAAAAGTATCCGGACCACGGGAATACCAAAGAGTTGGCGGGACCTCTCTCGGTGGCGGGACACTCTGGGGGTTACTTTCTCTTCTAACAGGAGCTCGAACATTCGATGATATGCTCGGCATGGCTGAACGGGGCGACAATGCCAAAGTTGATATGTTAGTAGGTGACATCTACGGCACCGACTATGGTAAAATCGGCCTGAAAAGCAGCACAATTGCAAGTTCATTCGGCAAAGTATTTCGCATGAAAAGAGAAGCCGAACGATTAGCCGAAGACTCAGGAGGACAAAACAACAGCGAAGAACCATCCACTTCCTCTCACTCTACCTCAGACCCACCATTTTCCCATGAAGATATTTCCCGGTCCCTTCTCTACGCAATATCCAACAATATCGGACAAATTGCATATTTACAATCAGAAAAACATTCTTTGTCGACGATATACTTTGGGGGAAGTTTCATAAGAGGCCATAGACAAACAATTAATACATTGAGTTACGCGATTAAGTTCTGGAGTAACGGGGAGAAAAAGGCAATGTTTTTAAGACATGAAGGATATCTTGGAAGTGTAGGAGCATTTTTGAAGAGGAAACCAGAGGGATGGGGAAGAAGGATGAGTTTTGAAGAGAGTGAGACAGGAGTGAAGGATATTGGGGAGGAGTTGAAAGCATTGAGGAGGGAAATTAGTAGGACTGAATAATAAGGTATTTCAGGTATGAATTGTGCTTGGTCTATTTTATTCGTACTAGGGTTTGGGATAGATTTTTGTGAAGCTTAAATTGTGGATGCGCTTGCTTTGCTATGCTATGCTTTGCGGTAGCGGGAGTATGGGAGTGGAAGTGGAATCTTCCATGTCTCCTTAGCGGAGGGAGAAAGAAAGAAAGAAAGAGAGAAAGAATTATAAAATTAGTTGGGCAGTTGATAGAGAGCGATAGCGATAGCGATGGTTGGGATATACAACGATGGATAAGTAGTAGGGAGGGAGATAGGTAGGTAGGTAGGTAGGTAAAAATACACAGCGAAATTAGCAGAGGAGAATAATCATAGAGTTTTCATCATACCTAGGTAATCTAACCTTACTATTACTGTGGATGATATACTCGAGTATTATGATTTGAAATATACCTTTTACCGAATCCTATGCTACTAGAGGATACTCTAGGTACTAGGTAGCTAGCTATCGCAATGACTGAATTGCCCTTTACCTATGTTGTCTGATATCGAGATTGAAAGGTCTCGAGAATGTCATATAACATCATGTCATCTGGTGAGCCAGCATACGTAGCAACGAATTATCCCGCCATGAACCTTCCACTGCCTACTTCCTTCTCCCTGCCCTCCTTCATATCCTTCCCACTCGCGCCATTTACACTATTCCCATCTTTCACACTCCCGTCTCTCGATTCCGGCCCTTTTAGACTCGATTCTTTATTATCCCTTCTGGTCTTCGCTCCCGCTTTCAATATATCCCACCTATTCCTATACTTGGCGACTGTCTCTCTCAACTTCTCATTTTCGCGGAATAGCCTCTCGTTTTCTTTATTTCTTATCCTCATTTGTTCTTCGAGTTCAATTAATCTCCTTCTGATCATTTCATCATTTGGTCCTCCACCTGGACTTCTATCTTCCGGGCGCATTAGACGTATACTTTCCTGTAGAGCCATACTACTATTCTGCGCGGCCATTTCGAATGCATGTAGTCGATTGCTAAGTTTGTCAATACATTGCTTGAGACTCTTGTTTTCAAGATCTAGTTCCTCGATGCGTGTATCTGTTTCTCTACCAGCAAGACGACGATTTCGTTTCGAGTTGCTCGGGGAATTAGGCATTGGTGTTTCACGGGCATCGACAAAATCATCCTCGTCATTTGGATCAGGGAATAGATCGGGATCTGCGCTGTGCATGGAAGCTGCTAAACGACGTTGTTCTTTTTTCTCAAAGGAGAGAATATGTGCATATGATACAGTGTGACCAGTAGTAGGGACGACGTAAAAAGAATCATTGCCTGGGTGACCATCACGAGCCATTGCACGAAGAGCTGGCTTAGATATGTACTTTGTGAGATCAGGCTCTTCAGTGGGTATTCTTTCTCTGCTTCGGGGTTTACTTTTGCGAGCGGTTGTGGATGGTATCTCTGGTGACGCTTGAGACGAATCGGTTTCCGAGAATAGAGGTAAGCCAGCAAAAGCTAATGGAGCTGATAACTTATAGACAACACTATTGAATGCACTGTAGAACTTAGAGAACCCCTCATCCTGGGCAATTGCGAGAGATGGTTTGGGCTCGGCAACTGCAGATGTTCGTGATGTAGAAGTTTGAGGGTCCGCTTTGTTCTGTGTAGGTTGAGGAGGAACCCAACTGGGCCTAGATGTAGTATACTCTGGAATGGAGGGAACTTTCGGTCGTTTACTAGCTTCTCGGCGTCCCTCAATATTACTTGGAGCTTGTAGAGATGATACACTTGGTGAGAGAGACTGTCGATTGTGACCTGAACGTATACCTCTTGCAGAAGCTAGATTGCTGGCGATTGAAGAAGAAGAAAGTTCGCGCGGAGGAAGGCGCCTAGGGGTGTGCGAGCTTGTGGCATTTCGAGCAGTGGATGCGTGAGGACCAAGGTCTGATTTCGAAGCGCGTAACTCTGTTACAGCCGCAGATGGCGATACTGGCTTTTCAATGACTGTTTTAATCTCGGTTTCGTTGGCATTCGGAGTAACAGGATGTTCGGTGGGGTATCGAAGAAGTTCTGAGAGCCGCTGGTGATGCTGTTCTAGAAGCCTTAAAGTCCTCAAAGCTTCTGCGCTTCCAGTTCCTGATGCAGCTTTTGCAAATTCTCCGGCAGCCAAGGCATGTTCATTTATTGCAACAGTTGTATCGGAACTATGCGTCGCAACAGCTGCAGCGCGAGCATGATCATGGGCCTGTATTGTTTATCAGTTAAGGGGAAGCTGATTTGAGCGAATGATGGTAACATACCAGGACCAAGGAGGAAGCTTCCATGGTACTTAGGTGTATGACTATATCTCTAACATACAGTGAACTCTTGAGACAGTCGAGAAGTTGATTTGAGTTGAGTAGTATTGGTTGTATGTTCAAATGTTTGGGGATGGAGGGATAAGAACTGTATGTAGGTATGCGGTCATCGGATAGGGATAGATTCCGGGGTTGTTGAAACTGCTTATCTTTCAGGACTAAGGCGGCTAGTTCTGCAGTATACTGAAGACTCCAGACAATACAATAAATACAATAAATACGACCAAATACTCCCTCTCATTACGATAAAACATATTGTATTGACATCTTCAATCTGTAGCATAACTTCCAAGTCTAACTATACCTACATAGACACGGAGTTGAAAGTTGAAGCAATGTAATCTACATTCTTCCTACCTTTATCGAAGCAAATATCATCACGCCCTGCATAACTTCAATAAAGCGTTAGGTTACCTTCAAACATCTGAAAGATATCATCCTTCCCCGAGACCGACCTAGCACAGATTCCTTCCTATATATACTAAATCCTCTACGCCTGAAGCCAAACATAGGATTCTCGATTTATATACCTAGTAGCTAGAAATCAAGAGCCCAAGCGGGGTTAATGAAATGATAAAAATGCCTGCTACCTACACCTTGGAAATCATTGGAGCCTCAAAATCCCTTGCAGATTGTGATCATGTCTACATACATCACAGATTGCTCGAGTACATCCCGTTTCATTACTAGTACCTGGTGTATTCTGTCTGTACTTACTCACTTACTCCGCCGTACCTATGTAGGTACTCCGTACTCCGTACTCCTTGAACCCGTAAACCCGAAAAACTGGGTGATGGCACGGCAAATATGCCTTCCTTGCTTTTGCCTTTTGCCTTGCATAATTCGATTTCTCGGCCACCAATGACGTGAAGAGGCTCCCAAGACAGACAGAGCTCTTGGGATCATTAATCACAGCCAGGCTTACGGGGAATTGAACTTTCTATGGAGTCTTGATAAGTAAGAAGGAAGGTACCACCAGGTAGATAGCTTCATGAAATAACCTCTTTGAAAAGGTCCTTGCAATCAGTGTTTGTTTGTTTATTTGTTTGCTTGCTTGCTTCTCTTCTTGTTTATTTTATTTACTTATACTTGTCAATTATACCATCCCATATAAAATATCAATCAATTGAAAACCGTTAGACCTCCAATATTTACGGCGTCATACTGTTCAAGCTTTCCGAATTGAGGGGGACATTCATGATCTCAAATCCAGAAACAATTCTCATTCCAGTCGCAGCCCAGCCCGATTTCGATTTCGCCATCAGACCTCCCTCCTACCTTGGATTGATTTCATAGAGTCTGAATCTATCCTTCGAGCTTACTTACCTGCTCCTGGATCACATCCTTTATATTACCTGCATATCAATATCTCGAATTCGAAAGATTGTGCTACACCTGCGATCCATTCTTCCCCAGTGTATGATAGATCCTATTTATTCCATCTTCCAGGTTTCTGGTTGATTTTCCCGCCATGGACGATGTTCCTGCCTCGCCCACTGCCTCCGAATCTTCTAAATCGACTGGGATATTTTCAAAGTCGCGAAGCGTGAGAAGGCATAGAAATTCAGCATCACATTCAGTGAGGAGCAGTGCAAGTGAAATCTCGCACGGAATCCGCGCCTCAGTAGAAGGGGCGATAGAGAAGTTTAAAGGGAATTCGGATTCCGACACGGAAAGCCATGCATCGAGTAACCTCAAAAAGTTTGTGCCGAAAGGATTCGAATCGAAAAAGAAGCGCCTGCAACGAGAGGAGGCCGAACGTTCTTTGGCGGAAGAGGTAGCGAGAGGAAGAGATGTTGCTGAGAGAGGAACTTTGGAAGATGGGCCCAAGAATCCCATCAACCGAAATCTCTCGGGTGGAAGTAGTTTGATAACATATGATTCGGATCCTGAGTCGTAAGTAATCTATTCTTTCCGTCGTTTGTCTAATTTGACCGCTCCAACGCTTGCTCTCCTTTATTTTCTCTTATTATCTCATCTCCTCCCTTTCCCCTTCTCACCGACATTATTTGTCAATCCTCGCGCGGTTATTTCATGGTTTGAGTCGTGGGATTACCATGAGACATGGTTGTTTATAAAGCGAAAGGCTCGGAAAAGACCCGTTAGGGGCATCTCAGGCATCACAATCACAACGTTACAGGCTTCTCCCCATCAATCTCGTCTATCTTGCATACAGTACAGTTGTACTCTAATACCACAACATCAACATCGCATTTACTGTCATCAGGTTGCTTCACTTGCATTAACTATCTATTTTCTCAAACATCTCACAACATTTGGCCTATTTTTAGCATCCGTCTCTGCTTTGACATGTGGAGAATCGATCTTGGCCTTGGGTGAAATTAAGTTTCTAATCCAAATTGCAACTTTGATAGGGCCGGCGAAACACGTCCACCATTGACGACGCATCCTTCGCATGCTGGATATCTTACTTCCTCCTCCCCACTCATACATACATCGACACTGCCACAAATCAGACCTTTGCCCACTCAAGCAGAAGGGGAACCCTTCCCGACCAACTACACAGACAGTCTGGCTGCCTCAGACTCAGCGATCAAGAGCCTCTCCCAAAACCTTCGAGCTCCCGCCGACGGAACTCAGAGACGATCGTCTTCTCCAGTGGGTAGATTGAAGGACGTATTTAAACCCAGGCGTGGCTCAAGCACAAATACAAGTCCAGACCGCAAAGCTGGAGGGGGAGGGGCTGTGCAATCACTAAGTACCAAGGACGGTGGGGCTGATTCCAGGCGGGGAAGTCTCATAACTGCTAAAGTTGGTTCAATATTTTCCGATAAACAGTTACCCCCCGGCAAGTCCAGATCTACAACCTCATCTCCTGAGAGGCCACAAGTGCCACAGGTGGAAAAGAAGCTCATCACCATTGACACAAATCTCCGACCGCAAACTCCACCCTCAGCGAACCAGCCAGCACCTCTTATTGTCAATACGCCTCCAACACCAACTGATACAAGATCATCGCAATTTACTTCTGCCACTAGTCCGGATTCGCCTATTAGATCCGCTTCCAATGTTGTAGTTTCTCCTTCTGGAAATATGATATCGCATCGACGAATTCGATCAGGTTCTGCGTCAGGAGTACCTAGTAAATTATCTAACAGTCAATCTGTACAACTAACCCCAACACCAGAGAACGGAGCGGGTACATCAGGTCAGGGTCAATCAGGGTTTTTCTCTTCCGTCTTTTCTGCCGCTCAGAACGCTGCGAACACGCTTAGTAGCAGCATCACCAATACATCAGTCCCAGGAGGAACAAGAAGTAGGGGCGGTGCACAAACAATACCAGGTATACAAGAGATTGAGAGCCCGGAAGTTGAAGCATTAGGAGAGAAGATAAGCTCAGACAATCTTATGGAAGAGAAAGAGCCAGCGGTTAAAACGTTGGGCATGGGCGATCTTAGCCTGAGCCAATTCGGAATTTCAGAAGAAGGAAATACCCCAACAATGCCGAAATACCCAGAGGAAGCCCGAGGAAGGCCTGACCCAGGCAAAGATGACCATTTCTTCGCAAATCGATCGGCCACAGCACCAAATCTGTTGACGGGTGAAAATCTCGAAGCTGTCTCTACACCTCAAATCGAAGATTTACATTCTCTTGCTCGTCCACGTTCTGTATATGCACCGAGCACTGGTGGAGATCGGACTCCTCCAAATGGGTCGTTGTTCGAAGGAAAATCTGGTATTCATCGTAGCGGTAGTATTCGAAGTGCCATCAAACACAGAAAAAGGGGTAGTTCTGCAGCAACCGGTACAACAGTCGGTGCTGCAATTGCTGCAGCTAATTCTTCTATCGGAAGCCCAGGCTCGGGTGCGCCTAAAATCACCGGATTTGCTGTAGCCAGCAAGAAGAGGAATCGTGACTTTCACGCACTATTCAGAAGTGTACCTGATGATGATTATCTGATCGAAGATTATAGTTGCGCTTTACAAAGGGAAATTCTTGCTCACGGTCGATTGTACGTATCCGAAGGCCACCTGTGTTTTAGTAGCAATATCTTTGGTTGGGTCACCACGCTGGTTATGAGCTTTGATGAGATCATATCAGTAGAAAAGAGAAGTACGGCACTGCTTTTCAAGAACGGTTTGATGATTTCGACCTTACATGCCAAAAACATTTTTGCTAGTTTTACAAGTCGTGATTCAACGTACGATCTCATAGTTGGCATATGGAAGATTGGCCACCCAAATTTGCGAAGTTCGCTAAATGGCGTGGCCCTTGAAGAGACTGGTGGTGGTGATAAGACAGAAAAATATGATGGCGTAGCTCCTCCTTCTCGTCCTGGCAGTATCTCACAATCCTCAGATGATAGCGTCGGGAGCGGGGAAATATATGATGAAGATGAAGATGATGAAGATGGCATGAGTTTCACCCAAGCCGATGGTAGCGTTGTGGGTAGCGAATTGGGTGACAAGGTTATTAGTCGAAAGGCATCAGCTGCGATTATGGCAAATGGAGCTCAGAGCGAAGGAGGTAAACAAGCTAGTCCATCAGCTGCGGTCGACTTTCCTGGCCCAGCGACACATGCACTCACAAACTGCTCTGACGGCGACACACATTACGCGAAAATTCTTGCGGACGAAATCATCCCAGCACCTCTCGGGAAAGTCTATAGTCTTATGTTTGGACCTGCATCTATCACTTGGATGCGGGATTGGCTCACCAATGAACAAAAGTGTTTCGACTTGAATTACGAAGAGAACGCCAAAATTCCTTTGTCCTTAGAGAACAAGGTTCGAAATTATTCCTACATCAAGCCACTCAATGGTGCGATTGGTCCTAAGCAAACCAAATGTGTTTCTGCAGAAACACTGGATGCTATGGATCTTGAGAAGGCAATTTCTGTGACGATATCGACGGCAACCCCTGATGTACCTAGTGGTAACGTTTTCACAGTCAAGACTAGGTATTGTCTTTCATGGTCAGAAGGCAATGGAACTCGATTGCAAGTCAACTGCGCAATTGAGTGGACGGGCAAGAGTTGGCTGAAAAGTAAGTCCACTTGACATTTATAAGTTCACATAGCAAGCATACTAACCCGAAAACAGCTCCAATCGAAAAAGGTGCCAATGAAGGTCAAGTGCAATATACGAAGGATATTATTGCGGCGCTTAAAGCAGCTGTCGGTACCCGTCGTTCTGGAGCACCAGGCGCGGTTGGCAAAGGCAAAAAGAAAGGTCGCAAAGGATCCAAAGCGAATAATCTTAGCAAAGTTACCGATGGTGCTTCTGAAGTTAAACCGGAAGCAACCAATTGGGGTCTGTTCGAGCCGGTTCGTGGTGTATTTGAGCCAATTTTCGATATTCTGAAACCATTAATGACGGGCAATATACTGTACGGGCTTCTAGTCGGACTTTTAGTAGCAAGTTGGTTCCGCTTCGGATTTCCTATTGGAAGCGGTGGGAGTAGAGATTTGAGTATGAACTATTTAAGCACTCCGGAAAGAATCGCAGCGTATGAAGAGATTTGGAGAAAAGAAGAAAGTGAACTTTGGTTGTGGCTAGAGGAAAGGGCAGGAATGGATAGATTAAGGGATGTGGGTAGGATGCCGATCGAGAGATTAGACGCGGAAGATAGATTGAAGAGTGAGGGCATGGAGGATAGGGAGGTAGAAGAAGCGATCAGAATTACGGAGGAAAAGTTATTGGTTTTGAAGGATGTGGTAGGCAAGAAAAGAGATAAGGCGAAAAAGTCACAAACACAGGAGCAAGCGGGCTCTTCCAGTGTAGTTTAGCGTTTTTGTTTTTTGATGAGATGAATACCTTGGGAAAGATGGATCGGCAGATACATATGGGGTGGAAAGATGTCAGACATACAGCGAGAGGGAAATATATTGCATATGGCATAAGGTATATGATGGCATAGAGCAAAACATCATATTCTACAGCGTAAAAGCTCTACTCAGCATAGTACCACACACAGATATCACTGTTGTTGGTATTTTTTATATTTTTTACTTTCCTTTTGTCTTATCTCTTGTTTTCGTTTTTACTTTGACTTTCATTTGTTTTTGATACTGATACAGGTACTGATATTGATATTAGTATTGTTCATATGTATGTTTGTTTGTTTGGCTTTAGCTGGATTTGGGCTCTCAATGTTCAATAAGTGGACTTGTATGTTTGGTGTTTTGGTATGGGCATGGGCATTGGGATTGAAATTGGTGTTTTTTATAGAGGGTTTGAGTTTGGACTGGCATATCTGCTGTAGTGAATTGTTTTTGTTCTTTTGTTTTTTTGGAAAGAGGGGGGGAGGGAGAGGTAGAGGGCGGAGGGTGGAGGGAGGAGGAAGAGAGAGGGAAGATAGTTAGTCTGGCATTTATATATTAGGCGGTGGTGGTTGAGTTGGGTTAAGTTGGAGGGGATGAAGGGAGGTAGATATACTATCTAGTACCTAGTGATATTAGTGATAGTAGTGAAATGAAATGGAATTAAATTAAATTAAAATGAAGTGGATACATTTATCTTGTGAGTTAATTGGTTGGTATGTTTTTGGGTGTATGTGATGTGCTTAGCTTCAGGAGTGAGGATTGAGGGGTTAAACTGAGGGAGAATGGTGTGGGATAATGTGGTGTAGTATAGATGTGGTTCCGGCTGGTATGAGGGGAGGTCGATCTCGATGTTTTACTCTTTATGTTTTGGTTAGCTAGTTGAGGGTGTGTAGTGTGATGAATGGAGGAGGAATAGGAAGGGGATTTGAAAGAAATTGTTGAAAGGTGTATGAGGAGGATTGTGGTATTCGAGGAAGGAAGATCTTAATCCCTAATTAGTATGATTAGTTGGTATAGAATTGATTGTTTGGAGTATCTAGTATATGGGTTATATTGCTTATCTGTAGTTGGTATCTACTATCTAGGATGGTTGATTTGGAGGGATGGGTTTGGTTGTTTGTAAGATTTAGAAGGGAGGGGGTGATGAATGGATGGGGTAAATGGGATAGATAGATGCACTGAGGGGGAATAATGGAAGGGGTGGAAGGGAGGGAGTTGAAGGGACTTGAGGGAGGGATAGTAGATGGATGGATGTTTATGAGAGAGATAGTATTTGTGTATGAGAATTGGAGGGAGGAATTGAAGTATAATCTACTGGAGTATATGTTGATCTGGTACGGATGAGAGGGAGAGCAAGAGGGAGTGTAAGTTAGTTGATAGAGTAGAGCACATCAGGAGAGCAGAAGATTGTGGACGGATAGGGATGGTTTTTGGTTTTTAGTGTTACAGGAGAAGGGAGAGGGTTCACCAATTTATAGCTATTGCTCTTCCTGTTCTTCTTGCTTTCTTATTGTGGTGCAATAGAAGGAAATGGAAGAAAGTATTCTATGTAGATGTATGAGGATATATCTGTGTGTAGCACGAATTATCTGGGGATTCGAAGACTTATAATATCTTTGTAGTGAGAAATTCTATATAAAAGGATATGAGATTACTTTTTCTGTGGCTAATGCACTGCCAAGATGTAGATGGGTACCTGAAGATATGTCTCACATAGGTAGCTCAGCAAAAGCAAATACTCATCTGATAATCCGAATTTGATGGAACTAATGCGGTTATCCGTCTTTAATCTAACGAGGCTTATTTGTATTGATTGGATGAAGGAAAGGGAGTGCATATTGGCTGTAGAAGGAGTTTCGGAGAATATATTCATTGATGCCCTGTTTGTATCTACAAGTAAGGGTAGTATATAGTATTTAGAATAGATTAAAGATACTCGAGTAGTCTTCATGAAAAGAAAGAAGGGATGTATATATCAATAGAGTATGAAATTCATCTCAACCAATGAAAGCATCCATTTATCTTAGTCATGAAACGGGAGAAAAAGACGGGACAAGCTTAATAAATCCTTGAACCATGCATAAGCTATACTACAATGCCAGCACAACACTAAAGATACATCCCGAAACCAAGTTTCAAGTCGAATATTCTGAAGTAAAGCTTTTCCCTAAAAGATCTCTCTTTTCTTCCATCATCATATTCTCTTCCCAGCCTTCTCAAAGTGTATTATGATTTCCACTATTGATCGAAACGAAAGTCTGGATTTACGATAGAACGACTATATTCTTCCGTGCTTTTAGAGGAGTAACTATCTCTTCGATTTGTTCTAGTGGAAAGGATGTTGTGATATTGAACTTGGAAAATCTACGAAAGAAACGAAATTATACTGTACCACGATTAATATCTGACTGGATACTTCAGACGCTATCAACGGATTGCACTTAGTCCCTACGTCAGTCAGTTGAATCATATCATCCATCTCCTTGATCAATGGTACAATTTCCAAATCATTTCAGCCAAACCGAACATTCCACCAAATCGTCGAGTTGCGCATAGACGGATACCCACATCTCCTCCATCCATGTGTACTCTAACTCTGTACTCGATCATAGCAAAAATAACCTGTTCTTGAATCGCGCTCAACGGGATTTGCAATTGATTCAACAACTGTGCGAGCATGATATCTTCAACCTCATCGATATATTCACAAACTTCTCCTCTGTTCTCTTGTCAACTTTTATCAATTTCTTCTATTTCAAGAAGTGGTCATCCAACTTGCGATTCAGGAAATCCCATTCTCAAAATACCAAGCCGACGGACATCCTTGCGGTTTCTTGCGGTCAAGCTTATAATTCTTGACCTTCACAAACTCCTAAGCTTTTCGAGCTTCTGACTTCGCTTTCGCATCACAAGTAAAAGGTTATATAAAACTTTCGATTTGAGAAAGAAAAGAGCTGAAAGATATCCCACCTCCTGGCCTTATTATATTGGCTTGGTTTATGAGAGTTGAAGGTGCTTTGGTTTAACCCACCCAGCCTTCTTTTTTTAACTCCTTCGTTTAAAAATAACCCACCATTCGTCCAGCCTCTTCATATCTTCACACCGAATAGACTACGATCCTCAATTGTCTTTCGACCCTCGAAATTCACTTTTTTGGTTTTCAACTTTGGTCATCTCTTCAAACCCTCGAGGGTACTTTGTCTGGACTTTCTCTCCAGTTAAATTCAATAATTAACAACTTGCAACAACGACAACAACTTCATCAATACACCCAACACAAACCTCACTCATACTTTCTCTATTGCCCTTCATTTTTAACCTTTCACTATCTTACACGAGGAGCGTTTGTCTAGTTTACCCGTTTCTCGGGCACTCCATTGAGCAGCCTTCGCCTTGTTTTCCTCTCCCCCAGATTCAAAAACTACAGCAGAGCTGACGCTCCCACCCAAATCCATATCTAACGACCGTCACGATACCCACGACCCTATTAAACCTACACCTGAACAGCGCCAGCGGCGGAGAAAGCTTCGAAGAACTCATATTGAAGCGACTTCTGCTGGGATTTCTCCTCCACCTCGAATAAGATTTGCCAGGCGACAACCAAGTGAAGACGATTTCACTCATGACTTCGAAGACGATCCTGAAACTGAACCTCATCCAATAAGTGGGCAACCCTCTCCGGCTCCAGCAGCAGAAAAAAGTTCTTCCCATCCTCCACGTATCGATAAACATACTGCGAGTGCTATCCTTTATACACTCGAAGAAGCATTGCGCCACCCCAACCCATTCACTCCAGATTATATTGAAGAAAACGCTTCAATGTCAGATTTGTTAGGCGGAGCTACGGGCTCGGCTAACAATGCCGCTAGGCCAGCAGCTTCCGGTTCACCCCACATTCGTGGCCCTAGAGATATTATGAGAGATAGACAAGCTCGGGAAGCTCGAAAAGCATCTGAAGCATCCGAACAAAAAGCCAGAGCTGCCGAACAAAAACGAAACGAAGAAGAATTAATGAGACAAGCAGAGAGAAGAGCAGCTGCTGGCGCTGCAGCACAAAGAATTGAAGAACGTGGTGAAGGACAACGAATTTCGGGCAATTCGCAAAGAATAGATCGAAGAGCTGGAGATCGAACAACCAGTGGTGAAGAAACTATAAAGCCAGTTGATCAACCGATGCAAAGACGTAATACTTCGACGCGAGCTCCTGTAGGCCCAGAAGTTGCACCACTTCGACTTCCAATGCAGTCAACAAAACCCACCGAGACTGGCGGCACAAGCCAACCAGGTTTATCCACTGGAGCTGGTCCAACTCAACCTGCACCTTTGGCCGTTCCAGGCCGTGAAGGCCCAACTCGATCATCATTTCCTCATGCATTTGAGCGCTGGGAGACTCTTTCCGCACATTGGGAGGGTCTTACGAGTTTTTGGCTTCGCAGACTTGAAGAAAATTCCTCTGAGATCAGTCGCGATCCACTATCACAACAATTATCTCGACAAAACACTGATCTGTCAGCTGCTGGTGCAAACTTGTTTCATGCCGTCGTCGAATTACAACGTTTACGAGCTTCATCTGAGCGGAAATTTCAGCGGTGGTTTTTCGAGACAAGAGAACAAGAAGAACGTGCTACAGAGAACTTGGCAGTAATGGCTAAACAATTAGAGGATGAGCGCAACTCCAGAAGTCAGGCTATAAAGGAGGCTATTGAGGCGGACAGACGAAAGGATCACTCAGAGAAGGTTATCTCTGAGTTGAAGAGAGAGCTAGAGATCGCAAGAAGTGAGGCTCGCAGAGCATGGGATGAACTTGGTCGTCGCGAGACAGAGGAACGTGAGCGAACGATCTCCCTACGAGAAGGTCAACCGACATTATTAGGTGGAGTTCAAGTCGTTCCAATGATTCAAGGCGTTCCAAGTCGACATGGAAGCACTGCTGTTAGAGATCTTCCACCAACGAGACAAGGAGGCCCCTCAGATTCTGGAAGCGGAAGTGTACGGACAGGAGGCCGATTTGCAGACCCTGAGAGCCCAACTGGATCCAATGACGTCTACCAACAATACCAACGCTCTCAACGTGCCGAACCCGCTGATCCCTTCATCCAACGTCGAGCTGCGGCAACGACATCTGCACCATCCTCGGCCGGTGGGACACCATACATTCAAGCACCAGCTGTACAGCCTGCATCGCCCGGTACCTACTATCAACAATCGGAAGGTCGCCCGACTAATCCAAGTACCCAAGCCGGCCGGACCGAGGGTCAGTACGACGGATCAAATAGCGACGATGAATATGAGATTGATGAACAGGGCCGCTATGTTCTTGATGCAGACGGCAACAGAATTCGATACTCCAATGATGTTTCTGACAGTGATACAGCTGAGTATGAGCATAGTCCTCGTCAACATCGTCAAGGTCGTGCTCCCATTACTGGACCTCCAATCCCAATGTCTGGTGTCGAGTATGGACAAGGTCCAACGACAATCACAGCTGGCAATCCCGCTCCTACTCCTGCTACCACAGTAGATTATTCAGGATCTGGATATGGAGCAGGTGGTGCAGGTGTAGGCTGGGAATCATTTCCTCGTCACCATCATCCAACTCGTCTCAGTGATGTATTGGAAGAAGACGAGAGAAGTCGTACGAGTGCAAGCCAAGTCAGTCGACGCGAATAGACATGATGATCATATTATTATGACTTCTCAGTGGTTTTCCACCGAATCTCTATCATCAAATCATTTTTAGTCTGGTTTGCTGGATTATTATTTGTATTTATCTACTTGAGATAAATTAGTTAATTGAGATCATGAAATCCTTGGAAAGGATACTCTATGGGGTACTTCGTGGGAACGGCGTACTATTTTTGCTTTATTTATGTCCACTTTCCTATCTAATAGAATATCCCAGGAAAGAGGGGATGAATTGATTCCCTGGTAAATGCATCATGCATGGAACTGGCGTTGCAAAGGAATTTTTGGTAAATTAATTTGAGCGAAGAAGGAGCATATTGAATTCGATGCATCAAGCAAGAGGGAGGAAGGCACCCCTTTTATGTACCTCTGTAAGATAGAGGAAGAAGCTGCATATAGTATTTACTAGGACTGTAGAACAGCAGAGATAGTTAATGAAAGGAAACTTAATACAAATTTAGAATGTCTTTTTGAAATACCTATGATCTGAGACCCTTGTAGCGAGGGGGTTGATCTTAGGAATTCAGATCAAAAAGAATGATGCTGCTTTGACAGAAATAATTTATAATTGTAAGAAAAGTGACTAGCCTAAAGCAGCACTCCAAAGGTGACCTAATCAATCTCAAGGTCAAAATATTAAGCAAGCATAATTGGTTCCATAATTGTTTCCCCTCCACATTGTAACCAAAGTAATCATGTCAAAGGCTATACTACCTACCAGCAGAAATATCCTGTCTTCGATCTCGAGGACTAATGCGAATACTGTTAAAGCTTTCGGGGTACAATGCCAACGATTATCCACGATTTGTGCCGCGAGGCTTCCGAGGACTGTACAGAATAAAGCTTGTTTAAATGGGTTGAAGGTATCTGGAAGTGCTGGATTGAGAGATTTGGGGTTGAAGAATGAGGGGATCGTTGGAAGAAGGGGCTATAAAACTGTGCAGGAACAGAGGTCGAGATATAGATCCGGGGTATGGATTAACTTTCCCTTTCTCTTTCCTGCGTGCCTTTTCTGTGCACCTGGACGTGAATTTCTATGAAAGGCACGGCATTCAGAAGAAGATAAGCTAACGTGCTATCTTGGGACAGCCTTTTTCATGGACAGCAGGAGTACTTTTTCTTGGGGCGGGTGCGGGACTAATATTCTATTTCCGATATGAAAAAGCGAGGATGGAGAGGAGGAGAGTAGCGGAGGCTGCAAAGGGTGTAGGAAGACCGAAGGTTGGCGGACCGTTTGAATTGGTGGATCATAAAGGAGAGAAGTTTAGCAGTGAAAATATGAAGGGCAAATATAGTTTGGTACGTTCTATCTCTCCTTCTATCCCTCCTATGGCGAGCGCGTTGAGGGCAGAATAACCCTTGGAAAGATAGAATATTGTACTGATGACTGCATTGATATAGGTCTACTTCGGCTTCACCCACTGTCCCGACATTTGTCCCGAAGAACTCGACAAAATGGCCCAAATGATTGACTTGATCAACAACTCTCCCACACGCACGTCCTCCACCCCTTCACTCCTTCCGATTTTCATCACATGCGACCCTGCCCGCGATACTCCTGCTGTGCTCGCCACTTACTTGGCGGAATTTCATCCTAGTATTATTGGATTGACTGGAACGTGGGAACAAATCAAGGATATCTGTAAGAAATACCGGGTTTATTTCTCGACGCCAGAGGGCGTTCAGAAAGGACAGGATTATTTGGTCGATCATAGTATTTATTTTTATCTGATGGATCCGGAGGGCGATTTTGTTGAGGCGATTGGAAGGCAACATAGTCCAGAACAGGCGGCAAGGATTATCGGGGAACATATTGGGGACTGGAAGAGGTGAGGATGATTTGAAAGATGCACCGAAGTGCTGTGTGTATGAAATGTGCGAGTAGACACAGATAGGGAAGCAGATAATAGGTGGGCATTCAATGCCGTGTACATGAATCTACTAGTGTAGGGAATATGAAAAGCGCAGCTCTAAATGTACTATTATTGTAAAGTAATGGTCAAATTAATGTTTGAAATCAGTGGCCAGTTGCTATGATATATATTCGATAATCCATACATCACATGATAGATGAGCTGTCGTCCATGTTCTTACTTTTCATCTTACTGTTCAACTACTTCTCGTATCACCTCAATCTCATGCTGTTGGAACTAATTACCGATATATTACTCATATTGTTACTTCCAAACTGTCACTTACTCTTGAACGCTCAAATTTGGAGAGACCAATAAAGAGAATCTTACATTGGATATTTCATTCAAGCCGAGGGCAGTCAACAGACTATCATCCGATATTCATCATGATTTCTAACGCTGATATTACCCTTCAAGACCACAACAAATACCTACCTAAACATTCGGAATCCACCCATCCTTCTTCATCTCATCAAAAATCTTCTCCATCTCCTTAATTGTATCAACCTTCTTCGTCCACCCCACCTTTCTCGCCTTCTCCATACTAACCACACTCCCCCACTCCCCCGCATCCATCGCATGCACAAACGCATCCCAAGTACACATACCCAAAACATCTTCCCTCCCCCCATACCTCCCCACTATCTCCGGCCATTTCCTCTCAATCCCCCTCACTTCCCCCATCAAATCATATCCCCTCTGCACTCTCGTCTCCACTCCAAAATACCTCCCAATCCCCTCCCACACATCCCGAAACGTCGTAACCGTATCATCTACAATATTGAATTTCTGATTCTGCACCGCACCATCCTCATTCAAGGCGATCCATTCGGTAAATTCGGCTACGACCCAGGAACTGCTGAAATGTTGCCCCTTGAGCCATTTTCCGTAGTATTCGTCGTTTCCGCCGGGGAATGTGGCCGCTTGTGAGAGGACCCGGCAGATGCTGAAGTAGATTGCTGCGGTGGTGGTCCAGCTTTGGAGGGAGAGCGGGCTGTACCCCGAAATCCAGAAGGGCATGGTTATGTTCCAGGTCCAGGGGCGGGTCGAGCTGAGGGAGAAGAGGTAGTCTTCTTGGTGGTAGTAGAAGTTGGGGACTGTGGGGGATGTGTTAGGATTATAGAGGGGAGATTTGGGTGGGTTTTAAGGTTGCGAAGTATATAAAGAAGGGGTGTTGCGAGAGGGGAGGTGGGTGGAAGGCAAAATTTGGATTAGAGGGGGAGGCGTATAGATGGATGGATGGATAGATGAACAGAGGAAACTTACGTGAACGTGGATCAGTCACCCGGGGAGCATCTTCGCTCAGGGGCTCGGATGCCGGTGGTGAGGTGAGTAGACCGTAGTTTTTCCCGCCTGTTTGGAGGATCACGCGGTGTACTGTTTTGATGGAATGGGATGGTTAGTTAAAGTTTGGATTAAAATTAAGCACTTGCTGAAAATTGGGGGTATATAACAAGATATCGGGAAATAGAAAAGAAAGGGGAAAAAGAAGATCTCATATTCCCCAGCCTCCACAATCAAAAATCACACATCACACATCTCAAACCACCCTCTCAAAAATAAAATCCAAGCACCAGGAAAAAAGTCAAAAATACCCACAAGTATCCCTCGAAGTCAAATCAACAGCCGTAAGTACATTCGTAAAAAGCGGCACATTATCCCTCGTCATCTTCTCCAAATGCTGCGCATGATCATAATCAGTATGAATATACGCATAGTGAAAAAAATGCGTAATATTAGTGAGATTTTTCGAGGAAAGCGCTGATGCGATTTCTTCTGTTGGGAGAGTGAGGTCGAGTGTGTGGTGTTTGATGCGTGGGTCGGTGGGGTGGGACCCCGGGAGAGGGGGTCGTCGGGAGAGAGCGTGGATTTGGGTCCTGGGTTTGGTGGGGAGGGTTAGTGGGGGTATTGAGGGGGAGGGAGGGATAGGGATTTTTTGTGATCCAATGTATCATAGGAGAAATGTATCATTTAGATAAGTTTACTATTAGATTATATACACTCACCATATCGGATTCTTAGCAAGCTGTTTCAATAACGCAGAACCGGAAATCCCATTTGTACCCGTTATAAGTGCTACTTTAGGAGTATTGGCCGAATAAGATGACATGATTGATGAGGGATTGGTTTGATTTGATTATGCTGTGTCGAATTGGGTGTTGAAAGTTGAGGTTTTGGTTGGGAGGATTGGGAGGGATTGGATCCGGATTGGATTCTTGATTTAAGTGTCGTTTGAGATTGTGGGATTGTGGGATTGTGCTTCGTATGGGATGATATGTTGGAAAGTAGGAGGGCATATAAATGCCGCGGTTGTGATTCTAAAAAGGTATTTTCAGTATAGGTTAAAGTATTGTATATAGTAATAGAAAATAAGAAGTATTCACCAAATCTCCAAATCCCTAATAAATACATAAATACAATTTTTCACACCCATTTCCATACGATCAACATGATTGAGTGACATCATTATTGAAAATCATAAAATCATACAGAGTACACAAAAGCTAGAATAATGCACTACTCTAGCACCCCTCCTTCATCGAAGATATTCAGCCTCGGTTGGGATAATGATACTGAACGGCTAATAATAATGATGATGCTAATCTCTTATCTATCTCTACATCTAGTTCTACAGGAAATTCTCTAAAGCGGATTCGTAGAGTAAATTCTGCTGGTTAACTACCTATGATTATCTGCGTAGGAATCTACTAATGAGGAAAGCGGGGTGTGCATATGCAGGTCGTCGGAATTGGAGAGGTTTGATGAGGGGTAATCTTAACGAGGGTATGAGGGAGGGGCATGATAAAGATTGTGTTATTTTCTTTGGAGACTGGAAGCGAGCAGGAATGGTTGTATGAAGTGTAGCTCAGTAATAGAGAGAACATTAATGCGTCATTATCTGATGCTTGTATTTTAATGGATAGATTATAATGTTTGTTATGGTTTTGATTATGTCTGCGCTAACACCTTCTAGTTCCTCGCTTCGTTCCCCTTAATATTCAATCATTTAGCCCCACATCATACCATTCCAGCACTAAATATTAACCCACCCATTACAACGAAACCAAGGACTCCCAAATTGATATTTTCCGATACTGAAACAGCTCCACTACTCTTCTTAGTTTCTGTAGATTGAGCCGCAGCAGAAGTACCTGCAGTCTAACTCCCGCTACTAGTAGGGCTAGCGACCTCAGTCGTACTCGCACTCGCACTCGCACTCGAACTAGTACTGGTACTAACACTACTTAAAGCCAGGACAGCTGGTTGTCCTGCTTTTAACTCGACAATATTCTCATCACTACTATTATTATTGAAATCTGCCTGCGCGATTCCGATTTGATTATGCTCCAAATCATACACCACGTATGCACTCCTCAAAAATGTGTCCCCGAGAAAGTAGTAGTCCGGTGCTCCTGTCTGTATTCCAAAAGTACACGCGTCGTCGTTAAATGGTAAATCGGGCATAGAAACGTTGGGCCAAGGGGTATAGATAGGGTTTGAAAGCGGGAATATAAGTTCTGAGAGAGGAATCTTGATTGTAGCAGAGACGGAGGAGGATGAGAAGAGATAGTTCATTGTTAGATCGGATGAAGTATTGAGGAGTGGACAGGGAAGATATACATTTCCTGTAGAATTTGTACCGTCGTAAGCGTTAAAATATTTGAATATAACACTTGTCAATTCAGGCGGTAATGTAATGATTGAGGTTCCGGAATCCAAAAGCACGGCTTGCGGAGAGCTTGTGAAATTTGTAGTTTTGCCCTCTTGGTCTGTGATACCCAATCGAACGAGCTCAATGGCAAACAATGAATAGAGAACTGAGCCATTCCAGTAGGGTTGAGGTACGATATCTATGCCCGTTAACTAACCAACGAATTTGCTAGTATCAACTGCACCGAAGAGAATAGAGCCGGTAGAGGAGTCGGCAGAATCAAGATAGAGACTATAAGCTCTGGTGCTGATGAGTTTCTGAGAGACCAGTTCGTCAATTACATTTGGGTAGATGGTATTTGAGGCCACATTGACCGAATAGCCAAGTCCTAAAGTCCCGGTCCGCACATCCGTGGTGGAGGCGAGACCCATTTGGAGAGACTGGACGGTGGCATTGCCAAGGGTTAAAGTGTCCGCTATGTAGGATCCTTTTGATTTTCTACCATCCATGTATTCAATAACAAAGGTATCGGTTGTGATGTTCCCGTTCATGGATGAAGAAGCGTGCGGGTTATCTGCATCTTTATTTCAGTATGTATTCACTGTTCCCATTCTCGTTTTTGGAGTGTCATTTGCAACATGCAGACCCATGAAGCTCTTCAGGTACTGGTGTAAGAGCCATAGACAGAATACATACAAGGAGTAATGCAGGGAAGTATCTCCGTCTTATTGAGATGCTCTAACCCAAAACCAGTACATGAATTTGCAGTATTCGCGACTAACCAAGTATCACTGCTACCCGTATCGACAATTAAATCGATATCCTGAGGTGGGGTGCCAACTTTGACGGAAATCACATAGCTTGCTTGTGTCAAGTCATTGGCAAGAGATCCTGAGATTGAGGCACGATTCGAGAGACGGCGGTTGAGAGCAGGCTGTGGAAGATGGGTTTTCCGCGTGATGGGAATACGAACTTGAGCAAGAGTGAGAGTGAGCAGCAAGAGGAGGATTATTGTGTGGTATATTGAGCAAGCCATGATAAATATCGATAATATGTAGTATGTATAGGTATATAGTATGGAGGAAATAAATAAAAATAAAACTCGAGGATCAAAAGTAAGTATAAAAATGATCCACTGCCGGTTTACTACTCCAAAGAAAGTTGCCATGATGTTGCACTAGTGGATCAATCTTTCTCGACAAGCTCAGATTGTATTTATCTGAATCATAAAAGAAAAGGGAATTTAGGCAGGCTTCTTGCAGTACCAAGAAATTGTTTATTTCTCATATTTAATATGAATCAAAAGCCTGAAGTACACCATCAGCCTAGCTCCCAATACTTTTTCTGCAGCATAACTACATTGACATTGGCGGGCAGGAAGACAAATCATTGATAACATATTTTATTTCATTGCCATGCTCTAATCACCACTTACCTTCGCAGACATTGGTAGTTGCAGAAGGAAGCATATCTGTTTTTTGTTTTTTGTGTCAGTCTGTTATGTATCTTCGGTCCATAATTAGCTAGTGATGTGTGAATAGCAGGTGAAATATGAATTGATATGTCATCAGAACTTGTAGTTGCAGTAGTCAGATGACAAAATGTGAGTTTGAAGTTTACTAATCAGTACATTCGCTGGTGATCATGGATAGTTTCTTGACAGAAATACTTCCACTCTTCACCAGGGAATCTAACATTTCATCTATGATTTTCGAATCAGGGCCAAAGCGTTTTGCGGTTGCTACGCCTGACATTCTTAAGATCCTTCCAACACCAGAATTGTTATTTTCGGTGAAAATCATCTTGTTCTTTAAGCTCGGAATGTGGCACGCAATCCATGCTATTGAAACTAATCAGTGTACGCAGGATAGATATTGTGTATACGGCACACTTCCTTCTAGGCTGTCCCAGAACTCATCGGACTTGTCCTCGGTGAACATGAGGTCCTGGCTAAAGCACACGTAGTATGCTGCATTGAGAGCCATGTAACGTATACTTCGCACGAGGTGAAAACTGTGTGGACCCTCCTCGATGCGCTTTTGTTCGAGGGGTTGCAGCCATTCCGCGATTCTACGGTCTAGCACGCCTCCAGACCTATGGAGTCCTAGGTGTTATATCCTGCGGAGAACTTCCATCTCAATACATTATGCTTTTCTGAGTTGGTCTGGGGAGCAATACCTGTAAAGTGAGGATGGAATCGCGATGATTTGAGCCAGTCCCCTGGTCAATATAGTAAATCGGTACCAAGATTTCTAAAGTTTATCTCAGGATCATCCGTGATAAATTTGTTACGACCTAGACGTGCAAGATTGCCGTATTCTTTGTTTGACTTCAAGAATGCTTGGGCTGCGTTGCCTGTGGCATATATTCTCACTAGTCATAAGGAGGAGAAAGCTACCAAAACTGGTCTTTTGAATTGTTGTAGGTGGAAATGCCGGCTGTAGACTTGACTAAGTACTATCAGCAATTAACAGAATAGGGAAATATAAGTAAAAGGAGCTGTGAATTCGGTGGATTTCAATGGTAAAATCCATGTCAAAGTTAGAGAATAGATTCTAGTAAAGTAAGCTTTGATAATCATATAAAGCGAGCAAGCCATCCATTTTAGTAGCGAAAAGCCTGGCTGATAAATTTGTTTGAATTTGTTTTTTAATCCAATTACCTAGGCTTTCATTATTGTACTCAAGAACACATCCCTGTAATCGAGACAACCTTGCTATGCATGTCGTATATATCATATTTGGAAGTGGCGGAGCTAGCTGTGCCGTAGAGGTTCAGCTACTAATAGTTAAGCATTAACTTATCGGCTCTTGTTAAACATAATCGCCGTGTTGTAGTCAATTAAACTTTAGCCTCTTCTTTTTGCAAATCTGATCCCACCAAATTCCTCCAACTAAGTTTTCGCTCGCCCAGGGCCGGAAAGAAACCATTTTTCCTCCACTTTCGTTTAGCCACGGTGGGTTCCTTTCATGTTCCAACTAATATGGCATCTGGCCTTTTTTCCCTCTCTGGATCGCTTTCCTCTGTCTTCCCCGCACCAGTCGCTTTTCTCACGCTACTGACCATCTCGTCGGCTACTATAGAGCTCACAACTGCCTATTCTCTCGTCTGCTTCGTCTCTCTCCCGTGAATCTTCGCATGCGTCTACTTCATTTTAAACGTTGGCAAATTGCAGATACGATCACGCTAGGCATCGTTAATTGGTGGCGCAAGCTTCATGTTTCTGTTGCGATATCTGGACTTAGCGTTAGTGAATCGATGGAACTCGGGTGATGTTAGGCCAGCATCACCCAAAGGCCATTATACGAGAGAGAAACATGAGAAATGGGAAGGACCCAAAAAGACTAATGCGAAAAATGACAGTTTGTGGTTAAAATTCTGCTAGGCATGGAGCAGTATGTTCGCGTTAAGACACGTCAATACTAAATACGAGGTCCGAAATAGGCCTGCATTTAAAGATTCGGATCTCAGCTTTGTTCCCACCAAGCGCGCCTTTTTGATTAGGCAAGTACAATCACCCTAATCTGCTACCTCTTACTTGACCTCATGTCACAGCGTCCACCTTCGCCTAATGCTCCACAGCCTTTTGACGAAGCCCTAATTCCCGTATTTCGAAGACTTGGTGAGATAACGCTGTCAAAAATCCGACTTCGTGCATTAAGTATCGCCGGCTTTGCCGTAACCTTCTGGGCGCTGATACGAGGCTATGCGACAGTAGCAGAGGCAGTAACGGTAGCAATAGGTGTGAACGAGCTACGAGGTTGGCGGCCGCTATTCAGTCGCTTAAAAATGACGCAAAGTTTGCGGAACCTCTGGGGTTTAGCTTTATTTCTTTTTTTGTCAATTTGAAGTGTCTTATAGTTGACAGCCGAACAGGAAAGTCTGGCATCAAAACCTACGCAGTCTACTTACCGGCCCTGCCGCAAAGATTACATATGATGTGTTTCATCTATCGAGAGGATCGCTTCCGGCACGCATTTCTAGCTTGCTCATCACCTTTCCTCTCTCTGGTCTAATGCAGTCGTGTGCTGGTATCGCTGCGGAAATGTCGCCCAAGCAGCTTAATATAGTACATTTCTTCATCACCCAAGCGCTAGGTATCGTGATGGAAGATGGGGGATTTTGCGTGCAGGCTAGATGAACATAGTACTAAAGTCTTCCCCATACACACTCATTCCGATGATTCTATTTGGCTCACATGGCACTGCCTCTAGCAAACTGTATATCATAAATATTGGTAGACTCTGTACTTGGAAGGTGTGTTCCAAATGCGATGCTTATATCACATCATTCTTAAAGGAATCGTATAGTCCGGAAAAACAAGCATTGAACGTCAAGCGATGACACACAGTCATTAACCACCAATCAAATGATTTCTTAGTAATAATTCACTTCTAAACTAGCAGTGTAAAAATTTGCGAGACATTCCCGGGAATAAATCCAAGTATCAAGCTGTCACAATTAGCCCAAGAAATATAGCACTTTGTCACGGCGCACATAGCTGTCCTGGAAGATTCTTCGTAGCGAACGAATTAAAGATCCTGATGGTGAATATCATTAGGACTTATGATATTAAATTGAAAAATGGAGAAGAAAAGTCAAAGAATTCCTATAAAAACATTATGATTTTGCCGGATCATAGTGCGGAGCTTCTTTTTCGATCCCGCGACCCTAAGTCAATATAGCATGTTAATAAGTTGTATCAACAGTTTTGTTCCATGATTTATTTCCTGTGATATGGATTTGAGCTGAGCGCAAACTTACCAATGATAATGAGTTGGAGGAGAAGAATGGGAAAATACAAGAGAAAATAAATCTACAGCCCAAACTAAAACAACGATGTCTCTTATCCAGAACCATAACAAACAGATATTGATAATTCTCACATTTTGTGCATATGCTCCATTTATTGAAGTATGAAAGGTATATTCGAGGTCAACGTCATAAGCTTGTTAATAAGATGAATGCAAAGGCCATGTAAATACTAAATAGCAGTCGTGATTTTCAACAGATGCAACAAGAGTAATTATTTCAAGTAAAATTTCGAGATTTAATTCAGGTGGCCAATGTAATCTAATCATCTTGCGAATCATATCAATGAAGAATACAGAGCTTTGGAGAAGATTTAGATTCGAAAATCCATTAGAAATTATAAGCTAGAAGATGCTTGCTCATTCCTAGCGAGGTTAATATTGTATAAAAAATATCTCGAATCTGATCGGTACAAATGATGCGATTGTTGACTCACATGTCACGTCTGAAGATTTAGACACAACGAGCCCGAAGAAGATGTGAACATGGCCACTGTAATGGTTGGATCTCGTATATCAAATTCTTGCTCAAGACCAATTGTACGTGCTGACGTTCATGGATTAGTGGCCAGGAATTAACCCTAGTGCATTTTATCTCGATGGTGAGCCCCTGTTTTTATCATGCCGAGGAAAACTCAACGTGGTGAAGAACCTTGTTCGTGTTAAAGAGGGTCACACCTACCAGGAGTTTGAACATATGACTTTTGAGGCTCTGCTATATATCTCTCCTGCCTAAATTTTTCATAGGTTGATTATTGGCTCTATCAGGTACTCACTTCCTCGCTCTTCGTTCTTAAGCCAATGGCACAGCGACATCTCGCAGCGAGCGTTATCCGTCGCATGGAAGAGAAGTTAAACTACAGAAATAGAACATGGAATGATGTATTCCCTAACATACTTGTTGTTGGAGCTCATACGCTTGTTTGGACCGGTTGTAAATCTGATATATCTTGCGGTCTGTGATAGTCCATGAGCTAAAATAGCTTTGTAGGGCACCATAAATCCCATATTGACGTTTAATAAACAGTACAGCGAATGTTCCTGAGATAGAGATTGTCTGAATTTTGTGCAGTTCTTGCGTCAAACTGCTGGAAAGGACCCCACAGTTTCGCTTCTGATAACAGTTTGCTTGGTGCCTGGCGCCACCCACTGGGTTTGCTTCCGATTGTGGTTTGGAGTGCTACGAGAAATACAGAAAAAGCACTTATAGCTGATCACCATACGTAGATGGCTTTGTGTGGAGAGGCCCTAAATGCTACTCCGCTAGGGCAAGATGGTTGGCTGGGCTGTCGAATAACTAACGAGGAGATGTGCTGTCTAAAGAAGTAATTCTACATGGGCTTCAAGGACAAATGTAGAACATGATCCCAGAATTTTAATTCGGGACATTCGGCAGGATTGAAGAGATGAGAGAGGTGGGAAAGGTGACACTCTAGATTTGGGGAATTCTGTGCACAGAGAAGATATGAAGACCTCCAGACTATCGATAGCAATTCGGACCACGACGTATCGAAGCGCAAGGGCAAAAGGCTTCGGTTTTGGTAAGGAGAACAAGAAGAGACAAAACTTTCTATAATAACATTAAATCTTCTCGGTAATGAGTGTACGCGATATTCAGGGCTTCTTCTACCATGTTGACTTTTGCTTACTTGCGACATTGATATTTCTCCTCACTAAGCGACCTCCGGGTGATGATCATCATTCCGAGCTTGGCCCAAAGCTAGCATCAAGTTCTACCTGCGCCTCTTTGAATTTTTGTCTATTTGGAACTTGTAATTGGACAATTTTACCGTGATCTTCTAAGCTTGTAAACAAAGTCGCAATAAATTCCATGGCCCGGTACACAGCAACTTCCAAAGTGAAAAATGCCCCGAAAACTATTGTGAAGCAGATGTCAATTGCGTATTTACTATACGCGTACTGTCAGATAATCTCAGTGTTGCGCGGGACTAGATTTATAGCATAGCGGTCTAAGAAAGACTGATTATCCCGCATCTGCAGTAAGAACACTCTCCTTACAATTAGAATTTTGAGGAAGAATCATTTGACCACTTGGATTCCTTCGATACGCTGCTGATTTCGGAACATGATGAATAAAGTGGCAAATCCCGGGTCGGCTTGTATTGTTACTGTGCTCAGTGTTGCGAGTGTCGAGATTCGCAATTTATAGAAATTATGAATTTGGATGACTGGAAGACAATACCAAATGCGGTGGTTATTTTTGAAGATGAAGAAGTCGTCAACGAATTTCGAATGCGTAAAAAAGTATACATGTCGTCTCCCAAGTTTTGAGGTTGACAAATTTCTGCTCAAGTTGGACAACGATCACGAGGTTCCCATCATTCAAAAAGCCTCCAATATTTTTTCCTCATATGAGGCTTTGAATTGGGTATATGGAAATATTTGGTAAGAAAATGTGTGGAAAAAACCTTGGGGAATTTGGGTGTCTTAACCTCACTTCTTTCCGAGAAGGAAAAAAGCACGCACGAGCCCCAACCTACCTACCTAGTAGTTTCATGTTAACCTTAGGGTTACCACGTGCTTTGAGAGAAAGTGATGTGATGAGATGATAATTCTGAGTATTTCTTCTTGAATCAAAATCAAAGTCAAATCTTGACTGTCGATGTGGAAACTCGTCGATAGATATACGATACACGGCTGAGAACCTAGAGCCTAGGAGCCCGAGAACATGCAATATGGAACCTAAATACTCCTCACGGCAGCACGTACCCGCTTGTGAGTATTTGGAAATTTCATTCGATTGGAGGTTGTTTGCTTTATTTCATTTGTACATATATACTGATCAAAGCCTCTAGGACAGCCCTCCACCCTTCAACCAGCGAGCTCATCGCCCTTCGACTCGTACGACGATATCAGTCGTGCTTTGCAAAAGCTTCAGCATGGCATGCACGAGCGGTTGGTAGCCGAAACAGAAATCCCCAAGAACTCTCATCCAATCTTCTAGCTTTGGTGGTGTTGATTTATTTATGACCTGTGTCGTATTTGTTTCCTGACAAGTGATACCTACAAGTTTGAAGGTAGGTATGGAAGTAGGTATCTTCCTCGTTGTGCATTTCTTATGTTCCTCCACCACTCTTATAGTTCATCTGACTGAGAACATCTAGGCAGTTTCGCGACTCTGGAATTGGCATCAGTGGACTGGCAAAATTGGCATCCGCGCCAATGAAATTCAACTACTACTATGGGTTATTCTTTTTAGCTCACTCATTTACGTCCAAACCACTATGTACAATCAAAATGGATTCAAGAGCTTGAATCATGAAAGAAATTCAAAGAATACCTGGTTTAAATGGGGACCTCTTTATTACTAACATCTTTGGACAAATAAATTCCATGGGGTAAGCAAGCTCTGAATCTGAGGTTAGCTCATTATGCACGCCATCAGATCCGGGTTTTCTCAGTGGAGTTTTGCCCATGTGGGGGCTGCCGAATGAATCCAACGAATCCAAAAAAATATCCAAAAATCCAACAAGATACAGTACCACCAATACAAGTAAGCATGTATCCATGTTGGGAGCCAACAATGAACAATAAAGTTTAGCACTTTAGGGACCTGAGAAGTAATGAATGAAGGATTCTTGCAAGTGCAGTCAGTCAGTCAGTCAGTTAGTTAATTACGGAAAGGATGAATGAATTTACATACCGATTTATCACACATGTGTCTGTTCCGAGCCTCTTTCCGAACGGTGTTTGGACTTCGGGCTAAGTACCCCAGGAAGCTCGGCTTGCAGACCTTCTGCATGCCAGCATGTCAGCATAACTCCAAACTACCTAGCCATCCCTAGATGAAATCACACCTTCCTCATTATAGGCGACGGCACCATCCAATGATATCTGGGTGAACTTACAATTTTCCTATTTATCCTTTTTTCATGTGGATCCGTGAGTGGGGACTGTTTTTATCGCGATAAGTTGTCATTTTGAGAAGTAGTGGCTTTTTAGTCTGCACACCTGCACAGGTGCATATTTTAGAAAGAAAAATTTCCCATGTCGATTTCTCAAGCTTAAGAGTCAGTAGTGTGGCTCGTACATAACCGACCACTCATATTCCATCAGTCTACTCAAACCACCGGACAATTGTCCAACTGCGGAAATGAAGAATAAGATCAAACTGAGATTTCGGTCACCGGAACATTATGCCCGGGGGATGAGTAGACGTTTATCATGCTACCTCATCTGCACTGTGCACTTAATTATGCACAATGTTCTCAAGTTGTACTCATTTTATTTGAGCCAGTCAGACTCTTCATTTCTTCTCTACTTCTACCTTTCCGCAGTTTCCTTTCCTGCAGTTGCCCGGAATTCTTTTGCAGATATCCCTGCTGCATATTATGGGAGTTTTATGCCCCACCTTGGAGCCACACCATTGAATCCGAGCAATAACAAATACTCGTACACTGCACTCGCACAATAGTCTCTATTTCTGGCTTTTTAAATAAACTCCATGCCATGTCACCGAGCGTTATTTCTTACTCGTGAATAACATTCTACCATCTGATGACCCCATCACCACCGGCAACGATGGGGAAAAGAGACGACATATGTTCTATTCTTGGGTATGAAAAGGACAACCAGATCAAAAATTCTCGAATTCTGTTAAGAACCACTTCGGCGTTCCTGGCCGACTATGAAGCCCGTGGAAACAAGGTTTACGGTAGAAAAGCCGAGTCCATTGGAGTTCGGCTTTGTGCGCTAAATTTTCTCGAGGAAGAAGGCAGAGGAGAGAAACTTTGGCCGTCTCTACCAGATGGAAGCCTGGTCTACGAAGATGCCCATGATAAAGAGACGTTAGTGAATTCTCCTTCCTTTTTTGTTTATACCGCCGTATTCTGAGCATTCTGATTTAGTATCATCGATCATGTAGCCGACCTTTTTCTCATCCACGCACGATCCAACTATAGCAAACTGGTGTGTACTACTCTTGTCTAATAGAATTTCTTTTAAAATGTGGCACGTCTGATAGATGGGTGTCGCCTTATTTCATGATTTGCGAGCGTGTTAATTTCCCGTGTGGGAGCTAACGCCACAAACGTGCAGCATGCGAAACGGAGGAGCCAAAAGCACGATGCTACCTCTGCATCATCAAATATTAACAATGAACATATTAGCAATAAGCCCCCGACCTCGAGTACACCTGAGGTATTTCTTTCTGTAACAATTTATCGTGTATTATTGTACACTGACCGTATGTATAGGAAACGTACTTAGAAGACGAAGAGCCACAATTCACTTATAGTTCATCTTTAATGACCATTAAACCGGAATTATGTCTTACCCCTTGGTTAGATCCACCAAAAAGGTTTGATCGTAACGTGGCTATGCCATGGGCAGAAAGCCTTAATCCCAAGAGCCTTCCAGACCCCCCTGTACGATTAGGAAAGAACTGGTTATCACAGGTTGTGCCCTCAATTAAATACTTTCCCATGGATGTTAACTTTAGCGTAGGAGATTGTAAAGTGGCCTGCGGCAGTTGATAAGGAAATCCAGTATTTTATGCATCGATGGGTATTCTATTATACTACAGATTTGGAGGACGGGGCAGATGAGGGAATTCAAAGTCTTGTGGATCACTTGAGAAACGATAAGGGCGCAAGTACAGAACTTGACAGTACACAAATCCGAGAATTCGGGAAGCGAATCGTTGATAGAGTAAAGTTCTTCACAGAGACATTCGTCAATCATCAGTTCATTGAATTGCAAACCGACGGTGCCCTCCAGATGACGGCAAGATTTCGCGCAATATGGACAACTCTTAAGTATGAAACACCGACTCCTCGCATTAGCAATCGACGCCGGAGTGTCGAAAAAGAAGTGCCGAAAGAGAGCCCACGGAAGCGACGGAAACTTTCAAAGAAAGCTGAAGACAATGCGCTGGATGTTAATCGACCAAAGAGGAAACCTTGGAGTGAACATGCCTGGAGACGCAAGACTATTCCCCCTCCTGCTGATATGACCTTCCCAAATTTGTTGTCCAGAAAAAGTTCTAGCGACGATCCCGTGACCGCGGCGGAGTCACCTCGGGACGCAGTAGACGACGAAGATAGTGAAGAAGAAGTATTTGAAAACTGTGAGACACAGGAAGAGTCTGAAGTACGATCTACCATATCATACAATCCATTTCTGTTCACATCACTGATTACTTTTAGACTACAATGCGAACTTCAAAGATATCGGTTGAGATCCCTCCACCCAACAAAGCTACGGCTTCCAAATGCGATGCAATCGTTGACATGGAAGAGGAATCTACCATAGAGGTTTTACAGTTCGGCGCGACAGTGATCGAAATATCAGATAATGAAAAATTTGGCGCAAGAACAAAAGCATTACCACCTACTCGAGAAAAAATGGCAAAATCCTTATCTCCAAATCCAGATAAAACGCTGGCGTCTGAAACTATGTCTCCAAAAAGTGGAGCCAAAGTTTCTGAAGCAGCACTAATTCTTGCGCACCAGTCGAACAAGATATCGGAGGATTGTGATGGTCTCGCACAAGAGCCTCGGGTATCAGATGTCACCGTCATCCCAAAGCAATCGTTAGAGATCATCACAGTTGGATGTGAAGTCGAAAAGGTGATAGACGCTCACAAAGAAGTGACTAGTAGTGTCCAGGAATCACCACAAACCGAGCCTCAGAGTCAGCTTCCGCAGACTGCAATTGCCTCTTCGGTACCTACCATAAATGGAACACCGGAAGATACTGTCGAAGCAAGCACCCAGCCTATGGACCTTGATGCACATGAAAATTCTTCTAAGCACGAGTTGGTGAAACCGGCAAGTCCAACGCAGATAGCGAGCCAAATTAATGAGCCCATGAGAGGCGTCACTTCACCACATCAAACTCCTACAGAAAATCAAAGTAATAATGCGCTTACCTCCACCGTGCCGTGGACAAAAATTTCATCAGGCAACCCAAAAAAATATGGTCCTTTTCATGACCTTGAATTTTTGAACCATATCTTTTCATCGAATGGCCCACGGCCCATGGATACCAATCGTCCGCCCAGTATCTCCAGTGTCTCCCCAACATCAGTTACAGAGGTCCATACACGTGAACTGGGTACCAATTTCAATTCAGTCAAGGCCATACAAAACTCTGTGTTGCCACGAACCACACCTTCGGCTGAGTCTAATTTGAATAAGGATCCATACAACAGACACTTGAGTAAGGACGAGATATCCATAATTAGTCAGACTGCAGTTTGCCAACCCGTCGTTGAAGAATCAAAGTATTCAGCGCGCAGCCCTGAAACTGTCCATCCTCAATCAATCGACCCCATTAAGCTTCCCTCTTTAGATGTCCCAGAAACATCACGGAAATTACTCGAAAAAAGCGCAAGAACCCCACTGCCATCCATTCCATTGTCATCACAGAATGGCGGGTCGCCTACTGCTCAACAATCTGCCTCAATCATTGGAGAATTTCACAAGCCACCTCAATCACCGCGAATGGTATCGCAGAAGCCTGCTCAAACCTCTCAAGTAGCGGTTCGCGATCCATTGATTGCCACTTTCCAACCTATAAATCGTCCAGCAAATGGATCCAATCCTTCTCCCTCAAACTACTCACCCAGTTTGGCGACCGAACCGCCGCAACCTTCTCTTATCCCCGCAACCCAGAATTCTGCAACGAGTACATATCACCCACCTATTTCATCACAAGAAGTGCCAAGTCAAAGTGAGAGGAGGGAGAAAAATCAATATTACGCGGATAACGAAACGGTACCCGCTCAAAATATTGCATGTGAAAGTGCCCTCCCGGTTGCATTATCGAGATCATCCTGGTCCCGAGATGGCCATCTATATTCATACTCCACGAACAAGCAGAACGGAGTGTACCCGATGGCCTTTATCAATAAACCGATAGCATCAAGCAGCGGCGTTTGGATGCATGAAACTTCCCGAAAAAGGCCACTAGAACGAACAAGCACAAAACCTCGGAAAACAAAGTCAAGAAAGAAGTCTGGGCTACCTGAAAAGCAGAGTCCGAAATTTGCTACTGTTAAATACTCACAAGCTCAACCGACCCACGTAGACCAAGATGCGCCACATCCGGCGAACTATACAGAGTCGCCACGGCAGACTATTCATGACCTGGGGCAATCCCCTAGGCCACCGCATCCAGAGCTCATCAATCATTTACGAAGTATGGATGAGAAGATGGGGATGAACTCAGGAGCTCCCCGGCAACCCGCTTCCAAGACGACAAATATGCCTTCCCCCGCATTGAATCAACAGCCAATCAATCACACCGAGAACGTGGATCGTAACACTATGTACTACGATGCCAAACAAGAACTAAAGATATTGAATTACATCTCCTCACAGAATAAGATGCACTCACTTGGTGGTCAATCTTCTCAAGATTGGGGCAAGATCAAGACTTCCTTAGCTTCCCCAGCACAATCTCACCAAAATTCTAGCATGTCGCAGATACGGCCTTCACCCCCAGAAAATCCTATTGCACGAACGGAGCAAGCCAATGCTGAGTATGGCATGCAACCAAACCAAAGCTCGCCTAACGTTAGAGAAGAAAATAAAATAAATTCAACAAGTAGCTTACAGCAAGGTCACAGCCATCCCAAGGCTAGCGAACAGTCCAAAATTAATCCTGGAATGGGCACCACTCTGAAACAGACGCCGTCTAATGCCAATGCGAAACGCAGTTTTATCGCAGAGAGTCGCGGTCAATTGTCAAATTCTGCACATGTTGGTCGTTCCCAACAAGCGCATTTAGGGGCAGGAACAGGGCAGGAGGCACTTGTGGCTAACGGAACGGGGCATGAAATTCCCACAAGTACTACAGTGACTAACTCTATCATACCACAAAATCTCCCAGAGCCACAGAGAACACAGAATCGCGCAAACAATCACGTACAGCATTCAAACCCAGCTTACCCAACGCTTGCCAATCAATATGCAAACCAAGAGATACAAAGGACCAAAATTCACAACGAAACTCAAAACAACCCTTCTTCCCCAGAATCATATCGGTCACAGGATCCATGGTGGAATTCTCTTGCAGCAAACTACGGCATTGAGAAAATATCACAACCAACTTCGAGACATGCCCCTCAGCCTGCCCGTAATGTGCTACATGATGGCTCGTTGGGTAATACTACACCTGTGTCAACAGTACAAACTGTGCCGCAAGTTCAAGCAGGGAATCAAGACTACCAACCTGACACGAGAAAAGTGGCATCTTCAGTTACGGAACTTCCGCATTCTACAGGTGTTGAATCCTCCAAGATATTGCACCAAACTCCAGAAAGTCTGCGTGTCAGTCATTCTTCGCAACCATCCGATATACAAGGTTCGCCGCCACAAAGCTACTCTGGTAAGCAATATGCAACGCAGCCATCGCCAATCCAGCAATCGAATTCAGCAGTTCAGATTTTGCAGCCACGGTCTGGCACAAGGACTTCAACTCCTCTTAGCCAATTTTCGAATCAAGCTCTAGCCCCCTCGTCATATGGAAATACTCCATCCCCGAAAAATCAGTTTTATCAGTCTTCAAGCCAAGTTTCTGGTCATCCTAACCCACCATTAAAAGCCCAATACACCAGCGATAAAATTGGGCGACCTTCCAGTGCAAAAACTTACAATTTTCAACACCAGTCTCCCAGTCAATCAGTCGTGCAATCCGCAATCATCCAAAACTCAGTGCCGCAAAGTCAATTTACGAATCGATCACCTACACAGTTCTCCCCCATCCAAGGGTCATCTCCGCAGAACCAATATACTGCCACATCTGCAACTAAACAGGCATCTTTAGCTCCAGCTGCCAACGGTGCAGAGTATAATGAGCGACAGGATCACGCAGCCCCACATTATCAGTACGATAAGCGGCCGCAGCAACCGGTTGAGCCTCAAGCATTCACGATGCAGGCACAACAAAAAATATACAATGGGCAACAACCTCATGATTGGACAAAGTATCGATTGAAAGATGCAAGTCCTCAGAACATCATGCACCCGGTCAATTTATCTCCCAGACAGCCTCCTATTACTAAAAATCAAGTTGTAAACGCATCTCCAGTGCAACCTTCAACAATTCAGATCCCCGCCACTCGGTCGCCACCGGCGTCAGTCATGTCTACTATACTCAACCCTAGTCTTCCTCCGACACCTCCAACCCCGGCTGGGATTTCTACCCCAAAATCAGATCCCATGTCCCTATACCCGCCGGGAAACCATCCTATGGCAAGTATGCCTCCACGACATCAGGCAGCGGCTGTCATTTCAAACCCTACAGTTGATAACATGACCCAATATTACCCCGGTGCGATGATTCGTCCGCTACAGCAGATACCAGGGGCAATTTCCACACCCAGACTTGATACACTTTCTCAATACTCGCCTTCTACTCATCCGCTAGCCACCCCGCAACAAACACCCACAACGCCACAAGAATCCGGACCGAAACTCGACTTCTATCTGCAACGATCCAATTCCATCATTGACACGAGTATTTCCTTCTCTTACCATTATATGGAAGCTCTCTCCCTCTCCAATCTCTTCTCCTTTTTCTCACAACGCTCCGGCATATCTCTGGAGAGATTAGATGAACTTACCTTCCGATGCATGTTTGGAGAGTATCAACAATTTGTGATTGGAAAGGACATGGGAGACGGAGAATGGAAACGAGCTCGGAAGAGAATTTGGAGAAATTGGGATAGAGAAGTGAGGACGGCGAAACAAAAAGGTGTTGATGAGGATGAGGAATTCTGGGAAGTTAACATTTTGATTGGGAAATGTGCGTAGATTATTTGAGGATTGTTAGTCTGCCACTGAAACTTTGAGCTCAATAGATTTTCATTTCGATATTATATCTGTAGATAGCATTTTGAATTGTAAATACACTATATTACTGACCATGAATGTCTTTGGATGAATTATATACATATATAGTAATGCAACCAATAAGATTTACATCTAACCGTTAACATCATCTTACCATCTGATCTTTTTCTCTCAATCCAAACACCCCAGCATTTAGTTTCCCTGCCACTTCGGCATTTTTTTTCATTTTTTCATTTATTTTTCAACTGCATCAAGCCACTGCCAACAAACTCACACTTTCTCAAGAAAATGGCGTCAGCCATCCCGTGGGTAGCATTTCTTAAAAATGACGAATGTTTATTTACGTAGATTGACACATTAGCACGTTGGCATCTTGGCATGTTGATACGTTAGCACGTTTTTTTGCCGTTATCCGTGATATTATATAGTTCCATCAGAGAGATATGGAAATATATTTGAAATAAATAAATAGGTATGGAGTGTGTGGTGATTGATATATCTTTACTACCCTAGGTAGGTAACTTTTACTCTCCAAAATAGATAAAAGTTTACCTTGATATTATATTTCCACGTCATGGAATTGACACGGACGATCCAACAGTTTCATATAAGATTACATAATGATTAGACGCGATCTCTTGCGAAAAAAAAAGACGAATCCACCATCTATCTGTTTAGCAACTAAATAGAATAGAATCATGAATACGCGGCAGAACTAACTGGACAGATGATTTTTGCCTAAATAATGTGTGTGGTGGTACTTTACTGGATGGATCAATATATGTATATATGTACGACGTACTAGGTTAGGTAAGATCATGTTCATGCATAGTCCCCTGGCTCGCGTGATCAAAAAGATTGAGTTTACTATCCAACTGTTGGTACGTACTATGTACTAATATTTGCATGCAGCAGGAAGAAAAGAGATATTAAATGTTGGATTTGTATGAGCTATGTATGGGCTATGACGGCTGATGCAAATTTTTATGCATATGCGAGGGTGATCCAAGGAGTGGTTAGTTTTGGTAATGTGTAGGATTGGATTGAGCTCGAGGGATTGGTGGGGTGTACTCGGGTAAGGTTGGTTACACGGTTATGTACTGCGTATATGTTTGGTTGAGGAACGAAATGATACGAATACGAGTTGATGGGTTGCATGATGGATCTCGTCTAATCAATCATTTGCTGGAATTGGATATGTGATTTTTTGTTTTTGGAATATTTACTTTTTTGAAGTCAAACATTTCATCTACCGACTATCGGAGGCTTTATGCAGGTATGTATGTACATCTATTCTGCTAATCAATAATTACGCATTTCTATCGATGAGTCTGCAGATAGATTGCTTTGGATACCTACGCATTTTTGGAATATGTGGTTAGGGGGTAGACTTGCTGTTCACGGTCGTAATGTATGGAATTGGATTGGTAAAGTTACTAGTCTACTGGGCGTGTCTTTTCGTACAAGTGTCGGTGCCGAAATTTCCATGTGATAGTATGATTCGGATATAGTTTTAATATAATATTATCTGACCGATATAGATGTCAAAGATGATTTGATGATGAAGGAGTGAGATATAACAGGCAAGAAAACTGTGCAATATGGCTAGTGTTGTATCTCTGACTTTAGCCTTTAGTCATTTGCTTTTCATCTGCGATGCTACTGAACAGGCCCCCGTTGCTAGCGGAGAAAAATATGACTACTTTAGGATTGTATTCAACCTCCAAGGACTAATATAAAGTACCCCAACTTCAAAGAGGAAGCTTGATTCCTACTTTTCTAAACCTTCCACATTCTTTATTTGTCCAGCATTAGGAGCACTCCCTTTTGCATATAATTGCTAAACACTTCTGGTATCTCGTTTCCAAGGTTAGTATCTTAACCTCATGGATTTTGTCCAAGAATCATCAGCTTGTCACAGTAGCCTGAGACAAGACTGTGGTAAAGAAAAACATTCCAGATAGGTGGAAATGATTCTTTCTGGGCCCTGACTCATTTAGATACTGAATTAACAGGCCGTTACAATGTTTACAAGACTCTAATATGGCTCTCTCGGATGCTAACTTCGACCGCTTTACAAAGAATCTTTACTGCTTACCAGTATCGGATGGATGATGCATCATTGACGCAGAGCTTGGAGCGAATAAAAGTTGTTTTCGACATCCTAAAGCAGTCTAAACACTCTCAGAACGGCTTTCCTTCTCTCGATGCTTGAAAAAACACATGTTGCATATACACTTGTCAAGCTAGGCGTGAAGGATGGAAGTCCTATGATGATTTCAGCAGAGCTAGAAGAATAATATTGAAGAAGCCCCCTGTTGGGTTTCTTAAGACCAGAAAGAGTATCAGATTGAATTGATTTATTCTCTAGCTAAGCAGTTAAGCTGCGAGCATATATTCAAAAAATGAAGGAATAGGTTGGGTATTCGGCCTTCGGAATTAAAGTGCTTTGAAATCAAAATATTGAAAGCAAACAAACAGTATACCAAAAAGGAAAGAATGAATTAAAAGTTGAGTTTTGTTTGCTCCTTATATGCATATGTACTATATATGCATATGCTGCCAAGATCCCAGGAGGTCAACACCCCCTGAGAAAGGCATGCTGTGTATTCGTTGGCCAGAAGATAGAGATGTGCGGGTCTTGAGTTAGACATGTTTCTCTTGGCCTTAAAAGGAACTAAACAGATCTCTTACTGATGGTATGAACTAGAGGTGTGTAATTTTGGAAAAGTGTGGACTGTTTGACTCGTGACAGGTACTTGAGAAAATCGAGATCGCGAAGGCAGGTTTCAAATGCTTCGGTGATGGAAAGGTAAGATTAGAAGCTTAATCATAGCTATTAAATGAAAACTGGTATAAATATCTGATACTTGTGGCGGCTCTACTGGATTTATATGCAATATTCATAAGTTTAGGTTTCATCGAGTATATCCATCCATTATCATCTGAATATTTGCAAGTCATTATGCTAAAATAGAGGGAAGTTCAATTCTTCATCTGTTGGTGTTTATATTAAAAAGTAGGAGTTTTTGTGTTTATCTGTTCCCCTTCAGCTAGTAATATTATATTTTATAATCAAACGTGATTTCAGGGTTCATACAATAGGTAGACATCTGAGTATATTTATCTATCCCAAAAAGAATTGATAGATAATTCATATACATCTTATCAAGCAATTGGCAGCAAGCAGCGCTAAATGTCTCTATCATTGAAATTCTTTTATTCATTAAATGTATATGAATGATAAAGTCATCAAAATGATTGAAGAATTTCAGATTAGATTTCACTCTTAACTACAAGACGCTTCTCATTCATATATCTATCATCTCAGTCAATAGGTAGTTTACATACCTTACTCTCAACTTCCAATCACAAGCCTATTCCACCTGGCTATACTTCCACAAATCCCAAATAATATCTACCACCTGTTTCCATCTTCTTTCATCCCACTTTGTCACTTTCTCCGACCTATTATCGCCCATTGAAATAGTAGGTTTGAGTCCGTCGACTTTCTACTCCTTGATACCTATCTTCTCTGGCAAATTTGATATGAAAGATAACAGGGAAAGAATTCGAGTCGCGAAATTTTGAAAAATAGATATTCGAAGTCGAATTTTGCTTCGTCAAGGGAATGAAATTGATATCATTTGAAAATGTCGCAAGGCATAGATGATTATCTGATGATGTCCGTGTTTGGGCTCTGACTGAGTTGGTGGAATAATGGATCAGTACGTTTGGGGTCAGGTGTGGTTAAGCATTTTCTCGTAGATGATAAGCTATGTAGTGCAGATGATGACTAGTGCGGCAAATAGCAGTGAGCTCCGATATGATGGTGGCCTCACTTCATATATGACTGATTGCAGTTGATAGGATAGACTGAGTGTTACTCATGAAATGGTGTGGATATGTGGTGTTGAGCAGAGTGATTTTTGATCTTGTTACTAGCTCGTTTAACAAAACGTCTCGAAACCTTGAGTTAGATAGATTGCAGCTTTATAGATGAGGCCTGACTTAACAGATTCACAGCTCTTCTGGAGTGTGATGCAATATTGTGCAGATCCGCTCAAAGTTTTGACATTTCCATCGAATTAATTTGCCATTTTCCACCACATTCCCTTTCCTTTTAGTGACTGATTGGTGGAGTGCTGGAGTTTTCTGTCTTCTTTCCGGGCCATTTTCTTGGGTCATATTATCACTAAATAGCGTGGCAAAGAGATCGCTTGTGATGTATTTCATCGTTGATATGTTCTTTATGCGTTGGTTAGATGACCTAGATACTAGTTTCTTATATCTCTGTTGCTTTTTGCTATTAGCACTAGCCATACTACAAAGGCTGAAATGTTCTGGACTAGGAACTGGACTATGAGGGGTCTATTTAGCATCCTTGAAATACAATTGTGGGCGCGTCACGGTCTGGATATATAGAAATTCCATATACCAAAACACTCCATCCCACTGGCTAATTCGTGAGGTTGGCTCAAGAATTCATTTCTCTTGTCCTATACCTCATATAGTCAGTCTGTCCTTGGTATTTTAAACCTGATTTTGGAGCAATAACTTCTATCAACTAGTGAAACCACCAATTGTTTTGTACGATTGCGAGGCCAGGTTTTGAGTGTGACATAATGGCCATTGTGTCCAAGAAATCATATACTTGTGACTTCATGACATTCATTTCCTGAGTTATGTCGTAATACAAAAATTCATATATAAACCTAAATATATGATATATAGGGTGTTAAAAATTGTTTTGGCCGGTACGAACAGCTCTCGCATCCTCCAACCATTATTTAGATATGAATTCTGCCATTGTACTTTCGTTCTCCAAAGGATTTACCCGCCGGATATCTTCAATGCAATCTTCTTGACGATTAATATCTCAGGTTCACAATAACAATAAGCTCAAACATACTTTTAAATTTTAACTTTGGAGTCATCAAGCTAATTCAATTGCCTCATCTTTTTTCACGTTTCTATCATCAACACCTCATCTAATCGCTCTCATCACCGCTGATTCAACAACAAAATAAGAAACAACTCTAGCCCTTGCAGAGCTGAGTTCATTCTTTAACGCCTGAATTCTGCTTTTTCGGGTTAGAAGTTCCACAGCTATAAATCTATCATACTCTAGGTCTGCAACTAGTTTGATCTAAGCATAAGTTTTTCTGAGCTGCTGCACCTTTCAAGTGCTAGCCACAGAAACTAAGACTGGACCTTCCTCTTGATTTCTACCAGCTTTTTGTTTGAGCATTTGATACGAATTTATATGGTTGTGTATTCTCAGTGCAAAACATGGATCAGAATTTTCAAAATTTTAGCCATGAAGCCGTTAATGCCGTGGAGTAGGGAGAATTGTAAGGAATTGCTTTGCCTTTTGTTACAACGGCTATCTTCTATGCCGCGTCACATGACTAAACCAAGGTAACGTGATTAAAGTCACGTTATGGACCGCGTAGCGGTCCTGACTAGCCATAGGCATGAAGGTCTATATAATCAAGATGGATTTCCTTTGTATAGAGCTTCGTGCTCAAGATCAATCATTTAGTATATCCTACTATTAGTTACGAATTGCATTTCATTATTGTCATTACTTAAGTCCCTGCTTGACGCCTAGTTATAAACTACCTCGAGAGCCTAGAGCACTCCCACGTGATCTAGACGGCAAACCTCGTAACACCTTTCCCTCCTGCCTCTTCAGTCGGCTAATATTTCCATTATTACCATAAATAACTTTCGGCCACAACGAATTGGTAGTTACATTGTTCGCGCAAAATATTTCCGCCGATTTTCAGGCCTCTAGATCTTGCTTTTTTTTGACTTCAGACAGTGGTACTCCAGAATTCCGGGCGAGAAATCCATCTATCTTCATCCATAACACGAAATCCCTAAAATTATCAAAGCCCAGAGCATTGCATAGATCATGCATCAATTTATCTCTATCTTTCGGAGCTGTGCACGTATTTATTTATTCTTGAGGGTCCTCACTTAAGCTTGTAAGCTTAGCGACATACTTTAGCAAAGATTTATGGTCTAGCCTTTCAACAAGATAGATAAATGGGCAGGAAATTTAATAATCTTATAAGAGACTAAAAGAGTACAATTAAAGAAAAAGATTAGATAACACTAAGCCATTTCATACTTCTTGAGGTGATCTTACTAAAGGTTTACATATAATATTATACTTGGAATAATGAATACTACAACTATAATCCATGATCTTCCCCGCTAGGAACAGAAGCTCAAAAAGTCCTTTTCCATCCGAGAATTTACTCAGATATTTGATTCATTGAATGCTAAAAACTATCCACTTTTTCCACCTCTTCGAAATCAACTCACTAGCCCAGCTACTCCTTAATCAGCGTCTCATTCGGGTACGATATTGATTCTCTAGATTGAGTATTATTGTTATTGTACTGTTATTTGATACATTTTTGCTTAGTTCCTAGACGATTCCAGTGATAACGCTTGTATTGTAAGTCAACAGATACAAATAGAGGGATGAGTGATGTAAACGAGTGGAAAAGAACGCTTACTAATTCGTTGCCTGTACTGGTACCCCTTGTTGTTGATAAGCGAATCTCTGTCACTATAATATGAATTTACATTATCCTACATTCATTCAATAACCTCTAGTAACTGTGATTCCAATTGTGCACCCTCTTTGATTTAAAATATCAGTCGAAGCAATTAAATGGAATGGAACAGAAGTAAGGGCTGTAAAGTGCAATTCTAGACCAAAAAAAAAAAGAACTAATAAAATCGAAAACTAATTATAGAAATGATTTGATTTTGTAAATCAGAATAAATAGAGTTTGAAAAATAACCAGGAATTGAGATCTAACCATCCAATAATACTTCAGATTTTCGATGCAAGCAAGCCTTTGGAACAATTCTGAGCACATGGCTTCGCATCTAATGACTCCGCGTTTTTGTAAACTTCAGTCTTTGCCCCGAGCTAATTGCTCAAGCAGAGAATTACCGAAATCGTGCACCTTCGTGAAATGAATGGGCTGGCAATTCTTCGTGCCCAGAAAGATCATCATCAAGATTTTGCATTGACAGGTCTTGGAATCCTCCACCGACAGCACAAGTCCAGCCGTCTTGCACCACTTCAGAATTTTGATAAATCGGAATTCCGTTGGCTCCTAGATTAACTTTCATCTCCTTCATGCATTTCGGATCATGCAAGCAGCCGCCTCTATGGGAAAAGCAATTTTTTCTGCCGCTGTTTACATTTCCAGGTTCAACGGTAGTATGTCTCGGATTCAAACACGTCCAATTACCACAGAGGTGACTGAGGTGCCACTTCTTATTAATAAATCCATCTTGCTGCAATTTTGTCATGGCATGAAAGAGAATTTTTGAAACTATACCAAAGTTCAACCTGAGGCTGTGCTTGCCACTATGATCTTGCCAGTAGAAAGTCTTCTGTATTCCACCGCAAGCACGTAATGTACCGATGGACGTTACATGAGGCGGTGGTGGGGCTGGATGAAACCAGCATTCACGATCTTCTCTGAAAGGATCCAATAAGCGATTGGTTGATTCCAACCATATTTGTATGGATTTCTTAACATGTGGAGGTCTGCAAATCGACGACAAAATAATGCACTTTCTCTCTCGACATGCTAGCTTGTTTCTCAGACCTGACTTTTTGGATGCATTGGCAAGGCGTGGGGTAGCCGGAACAAAAATGGCATTGCAAGTGGTGCTGACTCTGGGAGATGCGTATGATGATTTGAAATGGTTTCCAAGTGCTGTGATTGTATATTATCCAAAGGAAGTGATAAATGCCTATTTATTTCGCTTCTTACATTCATGCAAAAAGAGATTGAATCGGCACTCGTAAGTGTAACTGTGGAATTTCTAATGTCTGGGGTAGCTGTTAAATCTTTGCCTCTCTCCCCAATCAAATCCACCTCGCTCCGCTCCTCAAATATGTTCAAGAAAGGAATTGAAGGCAGAGATACGCTTGACTCCTGAGAGGTTGGCAGTACAAGTGAAATGGTTGATGTCACAACATGAGTTATATCTGCCAGGGGCAGACGGTGAGATACTCGAACGGGTGATACTATAGAGATTCCGTGCTCATCAAGAGGTCCCTCTATTGGGTCATCAGAATCATCTTCGGAATCTGAAGTGAGATCGATGATAAAGCGGTCATCCCCTGCTGGTGAATTTATGCCGCCAAATTGAATAACGTCAGTGTGCAGAACATTCCCTAAGTCTTCCTTCGTATCCTCGGAGAGCTGACTCTGCTGATAGTAGGAAAAGAGCAACGAAGAATTCGTCTCCGCCGTTTGAATGATAGGTAGCACAGTTTCCCTGTGCCATGAGCTTGGTGAAAGTTGGAGTAAGACCATCTTAAACCATGGATAGCGTATCGTGCTGTAATATGAATCCCTGAGACTGAAGGAATATACTGGTAGTGATGTTTTGGATAACTTATTGATCTAAATGCGGAATGGTTTTGGATAAGTATATGAGGGTAGAAAAATTGTGGTATGCAGGAGACTGTGGATTTTCTGAGATTCGTAGCAGCAGCTGCGTGAGCAGACTCGAGCTAAATGATGTGTAAGATTGAGGAAGGTCTCCCCCCACAACCACGCAGAATGAATTGAAAAGACTGAGATCCTGCTTGTTTTTGTCAAGGGGATGTGCTGCTATGATAGCATAAGTTTGATACTTCTCAGTCTCATTCCAGTGCAAATAATGAATTGTGTTCGTGGCCATCAGCCATTTTGAGGTCTAAAGGTCGAGTATAGATATGATAGTAGGCAAAGTCGGTGGGCCATTACAACGTCTTCCATGAGATGGGCAATAAATCGAGGCCGAAGAAGGATATGATAACAAATGATTTAAAACTATACTAGATTATTCTCCCTGTGATTGGTTCTGAGTAAGATTGAGAAGTCGAAGAGGTAAATCACATGTCAAAGACCGGATTAGGCTAGCATATCCTTGACCTACCTTCCACTGTTGTCGTTCCTGCCTTTGAATAAGATACCAACCATAGTTCACTTTAGGCTCAACTCTTCAACTTCGGTACCTGATCAAACTATTGAATTCGTTCTCCAAACCATCCACATATCTCAGTGCGACGACACACAATGCTCCTCCAAAACCCATCAATATCATCGGCGTCAAATCTAATTATAGTCTTCTCTCATTTCATGCACACTCTTAACTGTGGTTCTACACAACACAAGAATTTGGTCTGAGAAATATCATCCGATAGACAAGATGGTCAATTTTCAGTTTCAAATTCCAGCTCCGTGTCAAAACTGCCGCAGATTCCATTACGGATATTGTCGCGATGCACTGAGGCAGTGCTGGCGCTGCAATGATTATAATCATATTGAGCGCTTTTGTCCACGTCGTCGGGCAAGATGGCCTCGTGGTCAAGCACTTCCAGGAAGCCGTCAATGGTGCGACTATCATGGTTTAGGTTCTGATCCCGACCTTCGGTAAGTACATGATCGACAGCAACTTCATTATCCGAGCATCTCATTCACATCATATCGCTGTAGGACCAGAGTTCTCAATGCATTGAAGGCGTCGCCAAGCTGTAATATTTACGTTGATGATGATTGCATCTATAAAGGTTGCGTAGAGCATCATTTTCGACGCGAAGAAGTGAGAAGCAGGCCACTGGCAGAGAGAATGACACGCCGTAGATCCAGGTAAGCAACTCCCACAAATATCGAGGACCAATCCCATTAACTAAAACAGATCTCCGGGTCGAGAGCAAATCAAGCGGGGCAGATCTCGTTCACCGATCCGCCAAAGGTCACCATCGCCATCGGAGAGACGACCCAGACATCAGAGGCAAGCATCTCCGATTCGTCAAGTCCGTGGCCGATCTAAAAGCCCGTCACGACAGCAAAGACAATCACCACCGCGCACGGCGGTTCGACCTCGAGGGCGATCTCCTGTCTTCAAGACGATCGGAAATGCATGCACTCAGACTAATGCTGCAACGACAGGGATGAACATCTTTCAGTCTTCATTTTTACAGAATCAAGGCTTTTCTGTCGGTCAAAGGCAAGCACCCGAGAAGCAGCATATACAGCAAAGCACCAGAAATGTTGCCTCTTCGAATACAATCATTCTCAATCCGTTTCTGGCTCCTCCGGCTCCATTGGGCACAGTATCGGCAAATACAACTCGACAAGGAACTGCGAAGGATGTCTCCAACCATACGGTCGTCGCTATTCAGCAACCAGTGATGAATCCGCCTTCTCAGATACAAGACATAGATGAGGTTTACGTCGACGATCCACATTTCGTCCTTGGGGTTAGAGAAGAAGCTCTTGAGAAGGAGTACGTCTGCAAACTCATTTCAAAATCTGCGGGAGGCAATTGTGCTAACATAAAACAGGATCCTTGAGGCTTATCAACAGCGTATGTGGGAAGTTGAGCTTGAACGTGTAGCCGACACGGACTACAAAGAAGCTCGTGGACCAGACAATGTTTGGGATCAGAGTGTTGCCATATTACGCGCGGCGAAGAAGAAACTTGTCGGATATTAAGCCACTTGATGCTCCGCTGGTGAAAAGATACCATGAGCTTTTTGCGGTATTATACTCAAAGGAAGGCGAAAGTGGGGTATCATACAAGAATTTAAAGTGATATGCGGAATGTTGAATGTATGAATGATGATTGATCTGGCTGGATTAAAAGCAATTAATGTAACAAAGGAAGACGCGGGACTGTCCAGGGAGTAGTTTTGCAGAATATAGCTTGTCTTTGACCTCAATGGCTGACTCTCACATGTACATGCTCTGTGAGCACTCTCTCAATATCCTGTTCACGGTCAAACATTGCCATCCCGCAGCACCTTGTTGTCTCAACAATGCTTGAACATTATGATCCAATTTCATAATATTGGTCATACATTCTTCTGGATTATACTATGCATACAGCCATGAGGAACAGGTAATAAAATCGGCTATGTATTCCTGAGGAGGATAACACCGACAGCCCTGCCTACCATTCTATTCGAGGAGAAGCTCGATTTGAGCCTCCGGGCAGGGACCATACACCACAGTTATTGTAGGAAATTGAATTTAGCATAGTCCAGTCAAGCAGGCTTTTGAAATTTTTGTAGTACACTTGTGATGTAAGGTATATATGAACATGTTGGGTATATTGGATGAAATGCTAGGCCCGGAGGTACCTTTGGCAGGCAACTTGCCAAACTCATTGATCTTCATGAGCATTATATTTTGAGTGCTACAATATACCTCAAACACTGACACTTGATTAAATTATTCGTCGTAGTTTTGAACATTTCTGGCTAGAATAGTACCATCTAGCTCATTAATCCATCGAGAACCAGACACCTGTTGGTTCTATTCCAAGTGGAGTTTCATTCTCAAGATCCTCCATCGTATCTATCACTGCAGATTTTCAGCATCGGCTTCTGCAGGTAGTCGGGAATCAAAGACAAATTAGGAGACGACTTACAGTCAGTTATATCCTGTCTTCCACTCTGCGTCGCATTCCAAGCCAATCTCGCGCTGACCCTAACACTTCTCAGAGATGGCAATCTACCCTCCTCTACCGCATCATAGACTGCTCCCGCAGTAATATCCACCTCTGTCCCCGCTGTGCCGCTACAATCCAAATCCAAGATTCGCAGGGGATGCTTAAGGGTTATATTCTCAAATAACGCATCTGTGATAAAATCGGCCGATATTCGAAATGCAGTTAGAGAGGGGCACATTAAAAGGACGTAATCCAATGCACCTACTCCTATACGATTCATCGGATGTCGAATGGTCAGGTGCTGGAGTTGAGGCCCCAAACGTTCCAGAGTACCTAGGAGTGCAGGGGCGTATACCATGCTGCAGTGTTGGATACTGAAACGTGACAGCGTCGACGGAAAATTGTGGAGATATGTACGAAGGAAGTGATCGTCGACTCCACCGGCCAAATGAAGGCCTTGTAGCTTCGGTGGCCATTCATATATTTCGTCATTTCTGTCTTGGTCACTGTTTGAAGTTCGCGGGAAGAGTAAAGTTTCAAGACCTTGCAGAGTTTTAAGAGTCTGAAATAGTAGACGAGTTGATATTGAAGCGGAGATCAGGGATAGGTCCAAGTATCGAAGATGAGTACATTTGCTAAGAGCGGGAAAAGAATTGATGGAGAATGAGGCTTGTGGCGCCACAAATTCAATAATGTTTCCCTTCATTCGGCCCAGTAATCGTGCAGTCAAGCTCCTAGAACTATTATGCACCAATTCTCCCATATCAAGCCGGCGGACCAGGGGAGCAAGTGCGGATTGCCGTATGTGTGCATTTTTGGAGGGGCAAACTGTTGTGACGAAGGCATTGAAATTCCCGCCACTGAGATACGGTCGCTCGTATAACAAGGATATGGATGCAGAATACCAGACTCTGGATACAAGCGTGCAGGAGTAGAAAGTGGACTGGGTATCCGCCCGACGTGGAATATACGACAGGATGTGAGAAATGACCTCCAGCGGGAGAAGAATCTCTTGCGAAGGGGCTTTACGGTAAAGCTCTGCCATTGATTCACGGACTGGTTCTGACTCCGAATTTTGAGATCTGATGGCCAACTTGAGAGGTTGTGACATCTCTACGTTCCAATTACTCTGTGCGTCAAGGGCCATCGTTGAAATGATGAGATCGAGGTCCCTCCGATAGTGTTTTGATAGCTTGAGTTTTGTGATTGTACAGGACTATTTGGGCTCCGGGAATTCACGGCTGGAATGAGGGTTCGGACATTCTGACAACGAAGCAAATATTACTCATTATGAGAGTAGCAAATTGTTGAAATTTTGTCGTATGTTTTGTGTACAAATCTTGAATGTCGTTTCCGATGTCTCAATCGTAGCCTCGCCACATGTTGCGAGGCGCCAGATTAGTAACCTTAAGTCTTATCGCTTCTGTTATCTCGAAATGATTTCTTGTCAAACACAAGTCTCCAAAAAAAGAGGATTGTCGCGCGTCTTGGGTTTAGTATCTTGCGGCTCTCGGCAGGTAGTTTCTTTATCACAGGTTCGAAGAGAGGGGAGCTTTGCGATCTGAAAAGGAATTGTCTACAAGATCTTGGTACAACGGCTGAAGAATCCTGGCCAAGGTCTGTCAAGGAGTCGCCATTGAATACAAACAAACTCAGAAAAATGGCCGGCACTAAACGCGCACGCTCACCTTCACCGTCGCTTTCTCATATTTATTCTAACAAGAGGTCTAATCCTGTGAGGGAAGGACGTGTAGATCCTGTCTATGGTCAGCGAAGTGCACTTCCTGCGGATGATGACTCTATCAGCTTGGATGAGGACGGACTAGATGCACTGAGCTATTTGAGATCTGTCAGGTGAGCACATCTTTGTTATTTCTTTTGCCCGTGTATGCAATGGAGAGTAGTGCTGAGTTAGGTGCTAGAATCAGTTGGAAGCATCGCTAACATTAACTCGTCAGAGCCGAAGCAGGTGACCTTCCGCCCATATTCTACGCGCAAGCAGAGACAAGAAGCCCAAATGCCAGCGGCGAGTACGATCGATCCATATATGAAGGTGGCGTAGGCGATTTCAGAGGATATTATGAGGACGGTGCTTATTTCGCCGCGGCAGAAGTTGAAGATGACATAGAAAATGAGCAAGATGAAGGCCAAGACCCTCAATTGGCGTACTTCAACTCTATCATAACGCGATTCGAAATTCTGCGAGAGCAAATGCAACGAACCCCCCCGCCCAACCTAGTAAAGGATTTAGATGCAGATCATCCCACATATTTAACCACATTGAACACAAAGCTTTGCAGATGGTGGAGATGGAAATTGAAGACAGTTGATCCTCTACCTGCGCAGGTCGCGAGTATGGATAAGGATACAGTTTTGAGGTTGTTAAGGCTCCTCACTGGCGGCACTTTGTTGCAAAATGGCTCCGATATCAATATGAAGGTTAGTAGGTGGGCTTGGGCATTATTAGCTAGGCTACCGGTAAGAGGGGAATTGAGTAGCGATGAAATAGGGGTCGTAAGGGAGCTAGGAAAGAAAGCTGTGATGCTTGGCGTTGGGTTAAAGGCGGGTAGTGGCTTGAAAGATGAGTTAGATGAGGTAGAAAAGGTATTTGAAGCCGACAATGGGGTTGAAATTGAGGATAACGAAAGGGCTTTCAATCCTGAAGATGAAAATGTAATAGAGGGAGTCGAAGACCATCTGCAAGGGGAACAACAGTTGAAAGAGAGGCTCAATGGTGTTAAGCAGACATCAGACTCGACAGAAAACTTCACACTGTCGATCGCGACGGACAAGTCTACCCCGCAAGAAGAAGATTCGGGGTCGACATTGGATTCCCATGAATTGGAGGCAATCAAAGCACGCTTACTCGCCAATCTCACTTCAAACCCTTCGACTGTCGAGACGACTACAGCTTCAGATCCTCATCCGCCCAAGGAGGAAGAATCTATCCCTTCCACAATCGAAACGGCAACCTCCAAATCAGCGCAAACGGCTAACTGGAACACCAGTGCGACAATTGATATGATAATCACCATTGCAGGTGAGATGTACGGACAGAGGGATCTGTTGGAGTTTAGAGAAGTATGGGGTGAGTAGGTACTTCCAGCGACAATTTTACAGCAGACAATTAGCTGCGCTAGCCGTATCACGGTTCAAATGTCGAAGAACGAAGCAGAGAGAGCACACGGAGCATTATCAGATAGATGTAGGAAGTTATTTGAGCTTAATTCTTGCATTGACTTGTCTCTATAGCTCAAGGTTCATGTATGGTTGTAAGTATATACAGTAAGTGCTGCGACAAGTAATGTTTCTTTAGTAGATGTTAATGAGATGGAGCCGCTTGCTGTTCCTCAGATGAATACATAGCACAGCTTTCGCGGTTTATAGAATGTGAATTTCTGTTAGCTACAACTTACGGAGAAACCATATGTCATAGACATCAGTAATTGCAAATGTAAATATATATATTACTACACGGTGGTTATGTGCATATTGAGTTATAGAAACAAAGCATAGACCAGCTGCCTGTCCAGATGTTGCAGCTCTAGGCTAAGCAAACATGTTCAAATAATCCATCCAGAAAACGCCTTGCCAAATATATGCAGATGACATGGCTCATCCCAAACCATTGATATCCATAGTACAATTCCACTGCCTATAAATATGCAAACGCTGCCCATAAAATGCAAACCTGTCCAGACGCTCAATAACACGCATCGTATCCCTAAACACCACCCATCTGAACTTCCTCCACTAAACCATAATCCAAAAAGTCGGCTTCCCCAAAATCCATATCTGCATTCTCATCCCCATTAAATCTTGTCGTCATGTTGCCTCCACCCTTCTCACTCTTCCTCGACTTCGGCATCGCAATCCTTCGGTCCCCAACATCCATCAATACTCTTTCCTCATTTCTCTCTCCAAATATATTCCCACCCTCTTCATCATCATCGATAAATCGCCTCTTAGCCCCAGTGCCACCACCGTAACTTCCCACACTGCCATTACTCATCATACTCTCTTGACTACTGTCCCAGATCCTATCTTCGTAGTCCTCTTCATCTCCTTCTTCGATCGCCTCTCCAGATTCATTATATCCCTGCACGCCCATCCCCCCAACCTTCATTAGCCCACAGAAAGGCGTCAGTTCCCTGATTCCCGCGCGGGGTCTCGTGGCTTTATATTTCGATGGTGCGGGGGTCGACCCGGGAGATGTGGAAGAAGTGTGTGATTTGATGGCGGGTGTATTGTCTGAGAATAAATTGAAGGCAGAATAGGAACCGGTTTTGTACCCTTCAGGGACAGATTTGCGGATGCGCATGCCGACGGATAGGAGGGAAGATTGGATGGGATGCGGGAGAGGGGGTTGATATTGGGAGGGAGGAGGGGGTGCGGGGAGAGATGTGGAGCCGGTGGTGAAATAGGAGGTTATTTGAGGTTGAGAGCCGGCGTAGGGACGCTTTACCTGGCGGGCTGGCATGGTGATTACTTTCGATGTGTGTGATGGATGAGATGGTATGATGGATGGTTTGAGGACCCTCCTTGGCTTTTGATGAAGTTGAGGGTTTATTCAGCGTTGATCGTGTTGTATTATGCGATTTTATGTGATTTCATGTAAAGTCGAAAGGAGTTACGATGTCCCAATCGAGGCAAATGAAAGAAAGATTCGAAATGTTGAACTACTTGTTGATGCCTGCAAAAGCTGTATTTATTGTACAATGTGTTGATGGATTGAATTACGGTGAAGTGATGACGATTGATTCAACATGGAACATTCATAAGAAGTTGGGAATTGTGAATGGGTTATGAAAATGAAAGAGGGGCTTGTGCTAAGTAACTTTCCAGGTTTTGTGCTTTGATGAAACAGGTAGGATCGGAAGCGCGATCGTCGCGAATTAACGCGTTTAGTGGTTTTGTGATTACATAAATGCTTGATAAGAAATATGGTCTACGCTCTGTATCATTCCTATAAGACAAAACTCGAATACAACTAGAACTAGATACTATCTAGTTAATAGTAGGTAGCTATCAACTATTTTTCAGTATGTTATGCCAAAAGAAGATTAAATTCTAGTCACTGATAATTTGAGAGTACACATTGTCTTTGTTTTTGAAACTAGAGGTCGGTAGGTGGAATGTTGGTCTATCCGCTCCTTCAATACTGTTATCTTATTCACTATAAGCGAGCTTGATGCTTCAGCCTCATATTGGGGATAGATACACGAACGCAGCCTGGAGGAGTGGACAAAGACTGAATATTTGTTTGACAAGTATCCAACTGATTCACATAAAAGACATGGGATAGTAGATGCACAGATAGGACACTCCGAATCATCCCGACCTCTTTAGCTTTTACCAGATACTTTGACGACCCTTTTGGCTAGGGATCCTAACCTTGAGCTGGGTTACATATCTTTCCCCCCTAAACTGTACTCTAGAAGCCATTTTCAGGAAGTTGGTGGATCTGGAGATCTTAGACAGATATGCATGTGTGCTGGTACCAGTATGTCAGATGATATGTGACTGGGTAGCTACCCGCCCTGCGGGTGTATGCATTACAATGTCCTCAAGTAGAATCTACCCTCCCAGAGATAGGGTAAATTAGTAATTCCGAGAGAAGGGTAGCATAAGTGGTCTTGGCCTTACAACTAGCCTAGTTGGCTGTGCTGATCAGATAGATTACAGTCACTGGAGTAGGTGTAAGGATTCGACGAGAACCCCAGGAAGAAGCTTTTTAGTGTTCGAAACGATGCAATCCTTTAGATGTAGTTGATGGTCTTGAATATATTACACATACCGATATCAAAAATCTTTTCGTGGGTACTGTTCAGTTTTCCTACAAAATTCGATTGTTCACATGGAACTAATTATCTTTCAACGAAGATGATGAACAGCTAGAGTAAGGTAAGGGTAAAGATCCGGTGGGGACCCCTGAAATGAAAGCTTTGACCAACTTAGAGATAAAGATAAACACCCAAAAATATATCTCCACCCTCCAACTAATTCACTTCCTACGCGCTTCACCCTCACCCTCTACATGTGCGTTGCTTCTATCCAAAGATTCGTTGATCTGTAGCACCAGCCAAATACCAATTTCAAATATGTTCCTTATCGGCCAGGTATCCAACCAGGTGTCCGTGATCTCCCGGCGCTACCAGTCACTGAATCCGATAATATTCAATAGCAGCAAGTCTGTAAATAGGATAACCAGCTTTATCTCCAACCCTGCTAAGCCATCTTATGCCCAACAGAGATCTATATATTCCTCCCGACTTCAATCTACTTCTTCCTCGTCTTCTTCCACTTTTTGCTCCTCAAAACAGCCGACAAAAGTTGCAATGGCTCCCACTACCCACCAACGTCGTTCTAGCACTGCAACCCCTGTGACTGCAAACCTGCTGCCAGGCTTTGCTTTTGCTTTCGAGTATGTATTAATCATCTGTCTATATGTTTGCCCTTCGATCTAACTGATTACAGCATTGATGGTGTCCTACTCCGATCTTCTTCGCCAATCCCTGGAGCATCCGAAGCGTTGAACCTACTCCATTCAAACAACATTCCCTTCATCTTATTGACCAATGGAGGAGGCAAACATGAGAGTGCTCGGGTCGCAGAGCTGAGCAAGAAACTCAATGTTCCCCTCACTGAAGAGAATTTTGTTCAATCACACACACCATTCAAACAACTTGTTGAGGGATCAGATGCTGCGGAGAGTCTCAAGGACAAGACAGTTCTTGTTACTGGTGGAGATGGAGATAAATGTCGAAAGGTCGCAGAAATGTTAGTCCATATCCTCTTCTTTAGTGGGCAATTCTTAACCTTAAAGCTCCTTCACATACAATGAAGCCATTCGTGTATGCGTTGTTGAGGGAGCTCGAGACACTTAACCAATTTGAGATATTGAGCAAGGACCATAATTTTTGGAGATAAAGCTAACACTGGGATACATAGGTATGGCTTTAATAAAGTCGTGACTCCTGGGGACATCCTTATGGCTTACCCAACTGTTTGGCCCTTCAACCAAATCTTTAGCGAGTATTACAACAAGGCTACACGACCTCTTCCTAGACCTGTTGATCTCCTCAATCTTTCAGAATCTCTCAGGTTCGATGCTATCATGATCTTCAATGATCCTCGTGATTGGGCCTTGGATACTCAAGTGGTACTTGATCTTCTCTTATCTGAAAAGGGCATCTTGGGTACTTATTCGCCCAAGAACGGCGACGCATCACTTCCCAATAATGGCTGGCAACAAGACGGGCAACCCAAACTCTTCTTCTCGAACCCAGACCTCTTTTGGGCAACTAACCATCACATGCCTCGTCTTGGCCAAGGAGGTTTCCAAGCATGCCTCGAAGGGGTTTGGAAGGCTACCACCGGTGGTGCAAAGCTCGAACGCACTGTTATTGGCAAACCACACGCAGCAACATACAAGTATGCTGAGCGCGTACTACACAAATATCGTACACACATGCTCGGCGGTAATGGCGAAAGTAAGAGAAAGCTCCCACATTTGAAGCGCGTTTTTATGGTCGGCGATAATCCAGAGTCTGACATTCGTGGTGCCAATGAATTCGAATCATCTCACGGCACAGACTGGACTTCGGTTCTGGTCAAGACAGGTGTTTATAGAAGTGGCACTGTTCCTGCTCATAAGCCAAAGGCAATCGTTGGAGATGTCTACGAAGCTGTCAAGTGGGCTTTGGAACAGGAAGGCTGGCATACTGTTCATGAATGATTTTATTTCGCCGCTTGGTCTTTTTCGACTTTGGGCGACCACGGCGTATTTTTTTCGAACTTGGGAATAGATTGGATTTGCTTCAAAGTATAAAATCCAGCACCAAGTCAAAAAATATCATGCATTGCGATGGCGTTCGGGAAATAGTGGAGTTTGGGTTGGATTCAGCATTAAATGATGTGCAAAACCGTCATCCAAAGACGATGGATGATATAGATGAGATACCAATGATACTTGGCGGCAGCCAGTTTACATAAATAGATGAAGATAAATGAAAGTAAAAGAGTTAAAAAGGTTTATTAGTGTTAATGATATCTTTTCCTGTTGTTTATTTGAGTCCATCGTGCCTGAACTATACGAATTTGTAGACGGCAATCAGTAATGCTCATGAAGCTAGTATCATAGTGGTAGGCACGGTGATGGCAACGATTTTCGGCTAGATCTTGTAAAGCTAGCGAGACTAGCACCGTATAGCATTTACCGCGTACCAAATCTTTCCTATTGAGATAGTAGTGTGTCATAGTGGCTGATTGAAAATGATTTAAATCTGTAAAGGATTTATTTCTTAATAGCATTTGTAGAAGTAGAAGTATAAGTTGTGTATGATCTAAGTCGTCTAGGGTTCTCTAGATATGAGTTTCCTAGAACTTGGCTGTTCTTTTTTGATATTCTTGCTAATTGTCATTGGTGTACTGTAGTTTAGGGATTATTTCATGGGGATGGTGAGATTATGTGATGGTGATAGTAAGGTTGTTTTATGGGTAGGGTGAAAGGAACTGAACTATTGGGATTTAGAGAGTGAATACTTTTAGAAGTGAGAAACTGCTGCTTTGAGGATAGTTTTGATTTTTTAATTAAGGTATAGCAATTTATTTTTCATTACAAGGTTAAGTTATCAACATCATGTTTTGTTATATTAAACCATATTTCAAACCATGAGTTCGAGAATAATGTTGTATTTCTCAACTGCATCGCTCAGAATCGAATGTTTAAACCTTTAAAGAAGATGAAGATGGAAACTTCCTCTTGTTCCAGACTAAGAAGCTGAATATCAGGGAACCTTATGCCTTCTGGATATAATGAGATATTAAACTCCTTTGAAACATTTGAAGGATAGGTATAAACGAAAGAATATAGGTGCGCAAGAGAAGAATTGTTCATGAATCAAGACCATGAACGATACGGAAATGGTTTTTAGCAACGCTTCGGATTTGTTCATGTCGATTGAAAAGCCCCGAAGAGAAGGAGTTATTGAAGGGAGAGAGATACTTATTTTTCAAGGAGAATAGTAATGTATGAAATAGCTTTGCGGTCTGACTGTTTCTAGATAGCCCATTTAGACAAGGAAAGAAACGATTGTAATAGCCATATTCTTCACTAAAAGAGGCTTGAGTTTGACATGATAAAAAACTATCCCAAAGTGTTATTGAGTTTAGAAGCCTTTAGATGTATACTGCAAAATCAACTGAGAAAGCTTGCATATGTGCTTGAACAGCTGTCTGTGTGCAAAATTTGAGATGCGCCAGTTATAGACGGGACGCACAAGATATGAGTGATTAACTGTGCAAATGCCCTACTTACACCTCAATAGTGCGATGAAAGTGCCAGTTCGGTGGTCTGACTACGATCGAAGAATTGTTTTTTGATTCAAATAGTCCACCATGGCAGTGAGCTTCGTGAGCGTCAGCAAACAATCATTGCAAATGAATGTATATTGCACGCCTGCCCATCCTGTAATATCTACACGGACATATCACCTATAAAAGCGCGAATGCAGGGCATAGACAGGGTCCTTTTGCTCTTGTTCATACTAATTGTTTGTGGACCGAGTGAGTCTATGCCTTTTCATTTTGCCATTGAGGATGTTAGCCGGATTATGAGAGGGAAATCAGCACACCCTTTGTCTGCAATTTGATGCCCGAAAGATTCAAAATGTTATGGCTTCTGCTTAAATGGATAGAAGCGATTCATTAAATATTGGCCTAGGATCAGAATGGGGTGTAATTGATTATTATTTGTATTTATATCTTTTTGTCTAAACATCTTGATCATTCCCTTTGGACTAAAAGCTAATCCGCCGTAAACTAGCGGGCGGAGCGGAATCATATACGAAGGGAACATTACTTACCGGTAAAAGCCGCTCCTATTGTGCCAAATTAAATGTCTACACTCACCCTTCAATTTGATTCCCCCACGTAAGCACATAGCGTATTTGGCGACGTATCGCAACCTCAAAGACCACAATTGCAGCAATACTCGACCTTCTTTTGACTTGCAATTCATGAGCTTGGGAGCATACCTTGCACACCATGAGTTACAGTAAAAAAGATGAAGATGGCGACATGGCCATCATGCGTGTAGATAGAACTTCTGTCTTTCAAGAAGGTCGGTGAACATTCCCATTAACAGGACAGCTAAGCTAACATTCAACAGCTCGATTGTTTAACTCTTCCCCTATACAACCTCGAAGATGTCGTGTTCTCCTTACGAAGATTGCGCTTTTATTATACACCGGCGAGAAATTTCCTACGAACGAAGCCACTACCCTTTTCTTTGGTATTTCGAAGCTGTTCCAAAATAAAGATGCCAGCCTGCGGCAGATGGTTCACCTCATCATTAAGGAATTGGCGCATTCCGCGGAGGATATTATTATGGTCACAAGTACAATAATGAAAGATACTGGTGGTGGGACAGATGCAATTTACAGACCCAATGCTATTCGGGCTTTGTGCCGTATCATTGATGTGAGTGCGCCAGATTATAGCAGGGGATACCATTGACACAACTAGGCCTCCACAGTCCAAAGCATTGAACGAGTAATGAAGACCGCAATTGTCGACAAGAACCCTTCCGTATCTTCTGCTGCCCTGATATCCTCTTACCACCTTTTGCCTATAGCCCGCGATGTGGTTCGGAGATGGCAGAGCGAAACACAAGAAGCTGCAACGGCGACAAAATCCTCGGGTGGCTTCTCCTTAGGTTTCTCAACTTCTAGTAGCCAAATGCCGGTAAACAACTCAACAATGACACAATATCATGCGATAGGACTTTTATATCAAATGAGGATGCACGACAGGATGGCATTAGTTAAGATGGTTCAGCAATTTGGGGCAGCAGGTGCTGTAAAGAGTCCAGCCGCGACTGTCATGCTCGTCCGATTGGCAGCGCAGCTGGCAGAAGAGGATCAACAACTTCGGAAACCAATGATGCAACTCTTGGATGGCTGGCTCCGACACAAGAGCGAGATGGTTAACTTCGAGGCCGCCAAAGCCATTTGCGACATGCGAGACGTTACAGATGCTGAAGTCACCCAAGCAATTCATGTTTTGCAACTTTTCCTTACCTCACCAAGAGCTGTCACCAAATTTGCTGCAATTCGCATACTTCACAACTTTGCCTCTTTCAAGCCTCAAGCTGTCCACCCTTGCAATCCAGACATTGAACTCCTTATCTCGAACTCCAACAGATCAATTGCTACCTTTGCCATTACCACACTTTTGAAGACGGGCAACGAAGCCAGTGTGGACCGATTGATGAAGCAAATCTCAGGATTTATGGCAGATATTACCGACGAGTTCAAGATTACAATTGTGGAAGCCATCCGTACTCTCTGCCTTAAGTTCCCCAACAAACAAGCTGGCATGTTAGCATTCCTCAGTGGTATACTACGCGACGAGGGAGGATACGAGTTCAAGCGCGCCGTAGTGGAAAGCATGTTTGATTTGATTAAGTTTGTTCCGGAGTCGAAGGAAGACGCTTTGGCACACCTTTGCGAATTCATTGAAGATTGTGAATTCACCAAGCTAGCTGTCCGCATCCTTCATCTCCTAGGGTTGGAAGGTCCAAAAACATCTCAACCTACCAAGTACATACGATATATCTACAACAGAGTAGTCCTTGAAAATGCTATTGTACGGGCTGCGGCAGTCACAGCGTTAGCCAAATTTGGCGTTGGGCAGAAAGATCCAGAAGTCAAGCGCAGTGTTACCGTTCTCCTCACCAGATGCTTGGATGATGTCGATGATGAAGTTCGTGACCGTGCTGCGTTGAACTTGAGATTGATGTCAGAGTCCGATGATACAGCAGATCGTTTTATCAAGAATGGTATGCTATCACAACCCCGGCTTTCACAATGCTTTTCTAACAATTACAGAAAACACCTTTGCTTTACCATACCTTGAACATCAGCTTGTTATGTACGTCACAGCTGATGATAAATCAACATTTGATAATCCTTTCGATATTGCATCAGTTCCAATTGTTACCAAGGAGCAAGCAGACGCTGAGGAGCGAACCAAGAAGCTCACGACCGTAACACCAACAATCAAGGCTCCCAAATCTGGCCCCACCAAAGCTTCACCATCTGGTGCCGAAGCTGTTGCTTCTGCTTCTGCAACAGCCCAAAAGTATGCCCAGGAATTACTCAAGATTCCAGAGTTCAAGCCATATGGTGCTGTATTGAAATCTTCTCTTGTCGTCGAATTGACTGAATCGGAGACCGAGTATGTCGTTACCGTCGTCAAGCATATTTTCAAGGAGCATATTGTTCTTCAATACGAGGTTAAGAATACTTTACCGGATACCGTTCTTGAAGAGGTATCGGTGGTCGCTACTCCAACTGATGAAGAGGAGCTCGAGGAAGATTTCATTATCCCGGCCACTAAGCTTGTAACCGATGAGCCAGGTACCATTTATGTATCTTTCAAGAAGACTAGTGGCGAGGCCGCTTTCCCTTCAAGCAGCTTCACGAACGTCCTGAAATTTACCACGAAAGAAATCGATCCAACAACTGGCGAGCCTGAAGAAACCGGTTATGATGATGAGTATCAGGTTGAGGATCTTGAACTTACTGGTAGCGACTATGTTGTCCCTGCTTTTGCCGGTAACTTCAATCACATCTGGGAGCAAGTGGGTGCTTCCGGCGAGGAAGCTGAAGAGACACTTCAATTAAGTGGTGTGAAGAGTATAGCAGGTATGTTTTTGCCCCTCAAACACTTATAACTGAAAAACTAACGATTTTTCAGATGCTACTGAACAACTTACTAAAACACTCTCACTACAACCGCTCGATGGCACGGATGTGCCGATTAACACGACTACTCACACTTTGAAGTTATTTGGTAAAACAGTTACAGGTGGGCGAGTTGTGGCTAATATCCGAATGGCTTATTCTAGTAAGTCAGGAGTCACAAGTAAAATTGTGGTTCGTGGTGAAGAAGAAGGGATTGCAGCTTTGGTTATTGGGTCTGTTGCTTAGGGGTTAGCGATTCCATGGAGTTGAAAGTTGGGTGCATTTGATGATTATTGTTTAGATAATGGGTACAAGAAGCTATAAAAAATGGATTGGCTTCATCTCCTGGAAGATGAAGGATATAGCATGAATCATCAGATCAAAAATATAAAAAAATCATAATTGAGATTTGATACGCATCTTCGGGTTTAACCCCAAACATCCGGACGGAGAGATGGGGATAATCTAATCCAACTTCTTGTGCAATATCATTCATTTCCAACTTCTTACATACTTTAATTTCAACGATTTTGAAGAAAATTCTTCAATTTGTTGCATGTGTTAGCTCTGCGTTCTTTACTGATTGCCCCTATCAGAATCCCTGAATACTCGGTCCCGATATGACGTTGCATGCCCGTGGTCTTGGCATGTTTTTCTAGAATTTAGATTTCTTTATTGGAAGTAGGTACCTCGATATTTTGTACGACAAAGAAACACCGCGATATTTTGTACAACAAAGAACACTGTCCACAATCTTCAATTCAACCTCATGAACTTTGTTCTTCCTCGTTCTTCCTCACAGTTCCTCCTATAAACTGAAAATCTCCTTGCAATGGTGTACGTACGACAAGAAAAACTTCCAGGCCTCAAGCAATACAAATACTCGGGTGTCGACCATTCCCTATTATCTCGATATGTTCTCAAACCTTTCTACACCAATTTCGTGATAAAATGTTTCCCAATGAGCATGGCGCCGAATCTGATTACCCTTACGGGTTTCAGTTTCGTCGTTGTTAATATCCTCACTTTGTTGTGGTATAATCCCACGCTTGATGTGGATTGTCCGCCCTGGGTGTATGCCAGTTGGGCTGTAGGGTTGTTCTTGTATCAGACCTTCGACGCGGTCGATGGGAGTCAGGCGTATGTTTCTGTCTCTTTTTGATTGATCTAGATGGGGAGCGCTAACCTGACGCGATTGGAATACAGGAGACGAACGCATCAGAGTGGTCCTCTGGGAGAGCTCTTCGATCATGGTGTTGATGCCCTCAATACTTCCCTCGAATGTTTGATTTTCGCGGCTACGCAGAACATGGGGATGGGCTGGAAGACAGTTATGGTTTTATTTGCTTGTGCGAACCAAATCTTTGGACGTTTGCCCGTAGTATGCTAATATTTGGTAGCTCTCCTTACATTCTACGTACAGACCTGGGACGAATATCACACAAAGACTTTGACCTTGGGCTTGATTTCTGGACCTGTGGAAGGAATTCTTATCCTCGTCACAGTTTACGCGTTTACTGCAATTAAAGGCGGCGCGAGTTTTTGGGCTCAATCAATGTTCAGAACTGTCGGCATACCCCATTACGCGTTCATTCCAGAGTATATCTATGAGTTACCATTCAATGAGTGGTATATGGTTCAAGGTGGAATTGTGCTGGTTCTCAACACTGTTCAAAGGTAGGTTTACCCCTCCTAGACCCCTGTCAAAATATCTCCAGCTAATGACCCCTCCAGCTCCATAAATGTGATCCGAGCTCGCAGAGCTCGTGGAGACAGATCTCGAGGCGCGCTCTTGGGACTTCTTCCCTTCTTCTTCACTTGGACCCTCATCCCGGCCTACCTTTACCTTAATCCAGAGATTTTATATAATCATCTCGTTCCTTTTGTTTTCTTTGCCGGGCTCGTCAATGCTTACTCGGTGGGCCAGGTGATCACTGCACATCTGGTCAAATTGCCATTCCCTTACACGAATGTATTGAACTTACCTCTTGCCTATGGTGTCTTTGACTCTGCAGGGCCATTCTTGAAAGAAAATTTTGGATTCGGATGGCCTAGCGCCTTAGGTGGTGGCGTATATCAGGTTGCATATCTCTTCTGTATGCTAGGTGTTGCTGTTGGCGTTTATGGAAGCTTCGTGGTAAGTCTTTTTCACTTCTAATTTTCTCGGGCTATGCTAACATCGGAAGGTGGATGTAATTGTTACTATTTGCGACTATTTAGACATCTGGTGCTTAACTATCAAACACCCATGGAACGAGAAAGAAGAAGCGAAGAAAGCGAATTAAAACGCGCTTATGCGACGACGGAATGCGAACATGATAGTAGAAGGGTTTGGCTTAGATCGGGGCTCTCGGGTGCTTCAGGTTTTAGAATTTATGCGGTACGGATGGATTTTTATTTGTATGAGTATAATATCTTGTCTGTATATAATTGGTATTTTAACGAGAGATTCTGCAACTTTATTTCTACTCAAGTCTACTAGTCGAAAACAGCCTCCTTTGAATGTGATACCGGGGTTTGAATGAAAGAAAGAGTCGGCGACAATGGTACTCGGGTGTATAGGATATGTTCGAATCCCATTTGATAATTGCTAAACAAAGCCGATTCACGGGACATCTAATTGCCCACGAAAGCCCTAGGCTTTTATTCTCAGCACGTGAAGTATTTCATCCGTGATATCGCTTCTTTTACCCGCCCCTAATCAAACGTAACGTATTGAGGATTTCAAATCCGATGTCTAGCCCTACGGCAAAACGATACTGACGAAATGTACATGTACAGTTCATTTTTTGCAATTCGGGCAAGCGGCATTAGCATGTCTCTGCTCGCATGCATATCCCATTTTTCGCTACAATTGATATTCGTGAGGTTGCGAAATCTCGGTCCAGATGTAGCCGAGCTTTCAATTCTAAGGGTGTATTAATGATTACTATCTAGGACAATCTGGCTTAGATCGTCAATTGTCAATTTTTGCGCATTTTGAAGTCTTAATTTAGCATTGGAATTTCCCCGAAGCTTTCATGGGGATAACTTTATTTTGGGCCTGCAGTTCCCTGCTTCTGTTGCAATACAAAAATTGTTCGTCCATACCCCGCACAATGCGGTTTGAAACCAAAGATATGGGGAAATGTAAAGTTACGTTGTGCGAGTATTCATGGTTATTTAAGGTTGTGCCTCCTCTTGAAATACTAGAATGCATACATCAGACTTTTCCAAGGCAAATTTTCCATCAAGATGAGATCTTTTCATCTCGCAATCTTGGCCGGCTCGTTATTTTTCGATAGCACCAATGGAGATCCATCGGTTCATTCTCCTCGAGCTACTTGTACCGTTCAACCAAGTCTGAATGGCACTGATGATGCGCCTGCCATCCTCTCTGCATTCAAAACATGCGGCAAAGACGGAACTGTGGTGTTTCTGAACCATACATATACTATCAATAGTATCATGAATACCACCGGACTCTCAAACTGCAATATTGATATATATGGAACCCTCCTGGTACCTCAGTTGATTACTCGCGTCTTTCTCTCTACTAGCTAACTTACCATATTAAGTGGTCAACAAACATTACCTACTGGCTTAATCAATCCATGGCCTTCGGCTATCAAAACCAAACCTCAGCATGGTGGCTCGGAGGCAATAACATCAATGTAAATGGATACGGATACGGTACTCTAGATGGTAATGGCCAAGCTTGGTATGATTTTGTCAAGGGAATTTCAAATTATCCGAATAGGCCCCAAGCACTTACGATATGGAATACCACGAATTCCGTTTTTCGCGGTTTGAGATTTGTGCAGAGTCAAATGTGGTATTTTTTCCAGTCTTGTTATTTGTATTAGAGAATGGCGAGAAATAACGAAGGAGATAGGACAATGACAATCTTCAAATCGTCCACAGTTCTTTTACAGGATATCTATGTAAACAGTAGTTCCTCCAATCACAACCCCGCGCGCAATACCGATGGTGCAGATACTATATTCAGCGACAATATTCACTTTGATCGCTGGACGGTCGTTAATGGTGATGATAGCATTGCTTTGAAGGCCAATAGTACTAATATCTTAATCACCAATTCCACATTCTATAACGGATTAGGAGTGGCAATAGGTAGCATCGGACAGTATAAGGGAGTATACGAAAGCATTGAGAATGTGACGGCAAGTGAAATTGTGTTTTATAAGACATTGCATGGAGGGTATGTGAAGACCTGGACGGGAGAACAGGCGGGATATCCACCGAATGGTGGAGGAGGAGGATTGGGATGTAAGTAAAAGTTTCTCATTCCTTTCGAACTCCTGAGGATGATTTCTCACAAAAATATATACAGTTGCCAAGAACATCACATTTGAAAATTTATCCTTCCATTCCTTGAGGGGACCACCATTTTCCATCTCGCAATGCACGACATTCTCAGGTACAGCAGGCAATTGTTCTTCTTCAGCATGTGAGTACTTTCCTTTCTCTCATTCCCTCTCCCATTCTCCAACTCTACCTACTTCCACGTTTTAGAACATTCCCCCACAATGCACATAATCTCTTTCTCTTCTAATGTCAAGTAGTCCAAATAAGCGACCTAAGTATGTACAACATATCCGGCAGTATAACCAACCCCATTACCAGCTACCAATGCAGTGCTGTCGCTCCCTGTAAGGATATCACTATGGAAAATATCGACGTTGTAGATGCGAATGGGACGGCGGGAACAGGATATAAGTGTACGAATGTTATTGGGACAACAGGGTTCACCTGTACTGGTCCTACTTGAATTTATGGAACCGCGATTTTGAGGGTTTACAGATTGAGAAACTTATAGTTTCGCGATGTAGGAAACAAAGTTGTGTAGACCGTTTATAAATGATGACTGGTAGAGCGAATAAAGGAATTAAGAATAAATTAATCCTGCTATCTACATCTACTTCTCCCTCGCGGCAAGCTAAAGATAGCCCCAAGTCAGCTCATTACTTCCGTGTCTTGAGTATGTAATGTAAGCATAAGCCCCTAACGCAGTACATCCACGAAAACGGCTGACAAAAAGTCAGGCTAGGGTCTAAAACATTGTCATGTCCATAACACCTTGCATAGTTAGTAATAAAATTTCATCCTATTTGATCGCAGAAGCAACACAATAAATAATATGTAGGCGAAGTACCAAGCATCCTCAAATACATATGTCGCACAAAAGGAGACTTTTTAGCGACTATATGTGTATCATTTTGAGCTTTATCGCATTGGCATGACAGTAGAAGTATGAGAAAGAGAGGAGAAGAGGAATTTTTAATCCAGGAGATCGTGTAAAACAAGAAGAGGTACAAAGTGATTGCTAGGCGGAAGCTGAGAGGAGACAGTGATGGCTAAGGGTTGAGGGCTGCATAAGATATCCTGCACCACTAACCATCTAATAACTCTTCTGTAAGTACCTAGCGAGATATATGTTTGAAATCAATTCGGATGAGTGTTGAAATTTCCATACTTGATACAAAGACATAAGGCGACTTACCCCCTGTGTAACATGGGACGAGCCTTATGCACTCTTTAGCTTGAAACTCAATAAATGCGTTCAAAGTAGAATACAAATTAGACAACTAAAACAAATCTCGAGATTCCCAAAGCGAACTGTTAAGAAAATATCAAGCGCAACATGGCTTGAAACTAATAATGAAGCCACATTATGATAATTGCATAGTACACCATCCGATACTCCTAAGCATAAGACACCAAAGAACTCCCTGACGTACTCCATTTGTCTTGAGCAATATCAATCTCATCCCATATATTCCATAGTCCTCCTTAATAGCCTTGATACTCCTCCCCGCCATCCCATAAATCATAACAACTCATCACTTCCAGCCGCAACGCTCTTCTCAATCGCATCAAGTATTACGCTCTCATCAAACACCGGACCTTGCCCATCACATTTTGCAGCCCCCTTAAGCATTTCACTAATAATACCTACATCCACCAGCCCTTGCTTGTACAGTGGATGGTTAGTAATATAGTCCCAAGTCGCACCCGCCGCCAATAGCCTCTCCCCTTTATCGCCCAACACGATGCGATGACTCGGTACTTTGTTTTCATGTGCATACAAAACCTCAGTATAAAAATCCGTAGGCGTATATTTCATAGGTCCTGTATTGGCCAGAGGTTCTGAACCCCCACGACTAGAATGCCCAGACGTTGCCTTCAGAATTTCATTTTCCGTTGCAGCTTTCGCGAGTTTCAATTTCAAGCGCTCGTTTTCTTGAGCTAAATCTCCGGTGTTTTTCTCCAACTCTGCGAGCTTGGCTTCGAGCTCTTTTACATGGCGCTCCTTGCGTTCGCGAAAAGCTCGTTGTCTAGATTCAAAGCCTTTTAGTATTGTCCAAGTGAGGCTTCATAACGAATGAGCTCACGAAGGGGCCTTACGCTTGGCGGTTTTGGGCTTTGCGCCGGGATTGTGCGGGGGTTAAATTCTCCTCATCATCGCTATTGCTACCTCGTCGCATCGCATCATCAATCATATCGGTTGGCATTTCGGAGTACATAGGCTGAACAATTGGTGGCTTTTGCTGGGTCGTGGTTTGAGGAACGCGTGAGTTGTATTGATTTGCATAATCATAAGGCTGGAAGTGCTCCAAGACATCCTGCTCTTTGATGTTAGCAGGCACATTCCGCTCAAATGAGATGGTAGCAGTACAGGTGGAGAGTTGCTGAACTCGTCGCTATTTGATGCGTTTGTGTAAGTTGGAGTAGGGGGTTGAAGGGGGAAGAACGACTGAGCATTCCCGCTGTAATATGGATAATCCATTTTAAATGTCGAAGGTGGTTCGATGCGTTGGGAGAGTTTTCAAGTAAAAGCTATGATATTTGACACTGCCTGGTGTCTTGAACAGAATATCTCCGTTTGATTTGTAGGATATGTACAAGTGGAAAAGCTGGAGAATCGTAGCAGTATCATCAATTTTCATGATGTGATCTGCGGGCTCGATACTTGATTGATAAAGAAGCCTGAATAAGGTTAGACGCTAACGCGTACCCCGGGATCCGGGATTTGGTAAGGCCTATGCACTGAAAGAAGCGCCTGGACATTTTGGATGTCCCCCCTTTCCCCCTTAGGAAAAATTGCTTTCGCTTGACAGCTTACTATTCTATCTTCGAATGATATCTCAACTCTCAATTCTGTAGACTCCCATATTTGGCTGTTCTATAATTAGGGCCTTGGTGACATTTTCTTTTTCGCATGTTTACGCCGCAAGTAGACATATTGGTATCTATATCTAGAGACATCTACTCACCATAAACGTTACAAATAGGCTGACTGTACGCTTGCAATTGGAGAAGTAATCAATATTACCTACTCTAAGGTAATGTGATAGACTTAAGTATATGTATGCAACCTGACAAAGGGATCTGAGCCTATATGAAACTGGTCCCTTCATGGCTGACATCCATTCTCAATTGAGTAGAGAATTCTAAACGTTTGATTTAGATTCCCCAAGCACATAGCTCGGTGTTCTCTGGATAATGAAGCAGGAGCTGAATGCCAGTGGTATTCAGATGCGAATCTAGCTAGTTTTTGTTCACCACAATTGCCGCTTTATTTCTCGCAGTTCATGTAGCACATGACAAATATCTGGAAATTGTTAGATCTATCTTGATAAGTCAGAGGGCAGTCCAATGTCCCTATGTATATATCGTGTCATTGCTGATTCTAACATTCAAGAACAACATATGATTGACTTGTAGCCTACCAATAGACTTGGGGGAACATTAACAAAAGTCCGTCGTTAAAGCGATTTTCAACCGTACCTCAATACTCCGTAGTCCAAAACTTCCTCGACAGTCGATTCTCTATTGATTAGAATCTCTGCACCCTCCTGCTTAGACTCGTGTGTTGCTAGTAGACGGATTGTTCGTTCCCTAAGCGACGGCGTCTATGTAGTCATCGCCTCCGAAAGGTTCTTCGAACTCCATATGCAATTTAGCCTCTTTGTATAAGGCAATAAATTTCGCAGCATTGGTTGCCTCATGGACTTGCAATCGTTTGTGAATAACTTCATTATTTATATTGCTATAATCCCTACGTTCTTCCGCACCCAGGGCTGGGTAGGCAACCCCTACCCCGGGGTATTTGACCTCTATACTCTGCTCTTGAATACAAGATGATTATGTTGACAGAGTGTGGTGTCCTACATTAAATCAAATTTACTGAAACTAGTGCGATACTATTACACCGCGCTATAAATAATACAATGAAGGGTTTCCAAACGCCACTCACCAATAAAACAGTTCGATTAGGTAAGTTGAATCTACTCAATCATCTACTCAATGATTTTTTAATAATTTTACCAATCATTTGCTGCACCGTGTGTTTCATACATGCAATACTATCACGAAGCAGTTCCTGTTCTACCACTCCCGGGATGGCTTCCTAGAGAAGATGGAAGGGTTTGCGCACTCTTTTTTTTAAATTTTTTTTTAGCTACATAAGTGACAACCATTATTTCCACTTCCGACAGCATCACCCTTTCACCCTTTCATTTTCCTTTTTTCCCTGTTGTCTCATATTTTAAGCTCTTGAGACCGAAGACCAAGCCCTACATGACATGTCTAGAAGAAGTCACCATGCAATATGAGCTGTCAGATTCCGTAACAGGTATATACATAGGACTTAACTTGAAAGCAACACATATAGCTTCAAGCTCAATCCCCTCCATAACGCCAGCACTGATCAAGTCGTAGGCAAGAAGGATTGCAGCAGCACGTCAAGGCAGCGGTAATCTCTTGGCAGGACAAACCATCTCCTTTGTCAAGCGAAAAAGCCATGTTCACCTGTTTTCACGACAGCTAAAACAGTCAAACAGCATCGTATTCGGATGATTCGGAAGAGAATAGATTGTACTTACTGGTTCCTAATGTACCGTACATCCGATAATATATATTTCAGTATATATCAATAGATATAATACGCCTCATTGTAATTGGGCGCGTAGGAATCACGCTGTATACTATTTCCATTACCGATCCGACGTTGAACAAATATGGATGTGCCAAGACGTCAAATATAATTGGAAGCAAAGCCTTCTGTAAGATCTTACTTCACAAACTGAACTCTCAAAGAGAAAATTTAAAAGCATAGATCGAGTAACTACCTCCAAATATATAGAGCTAATGCCGACCGTAATTGCAAGCACTGCCACGCATGCATTTCCTCAAAGCATATTCCTTCCCAATTTTATATTACTCAGCAAATACATCTAATTTGAAAAATGAATGGAAATTGATAATAGGAAGTCACAAGCTAAGTAAATTCCACCATCTTAAATTCCATTTCGACGGAGCCTAAACTTTGAATATACTTCATATGTCAACTACCCAACTCCACATCTCCTTCTCTTTCTTCATGCTTTATAGCTGTTTTCCACTAGATAAAGCATGATAAGACATTAGAAAACAAGGTCATTTGAAACACAGACATTGAAATTTCTGGTAATTTAATGTGCATAATAGTGCAACTAGCCATGTTCAGTGTCTAGTAACCAAGGTCCACTCCGCGCTACCATGGATCCGGCGCAAACTAAAATTTCCTGACCTCGCTTGGCCAAGCATCTTAGGCAGTTTACCCTACCTAGCTTCATATCCAATACACAATAAGCTTTTACCGTACAATTTAGCTGCCTGCATTTAATACGTTAGATACCTAGATGGTCCGACTTTAGCAAATGAATAAATTCTCCCACAAACTCCAGATTCTTCACCTTCCTAGATATCTTCCAACACTCTTCTCAATACCACCGCATCAAAAATAGGAACCGTAAAGATATCAAACATTGTCATTTTCAGCCTCCAATCATTTATATACTTATTATTATTGTCATTTCGAACAATATAATTACAACACCAAAGTAAATCCTGTACTACGAATTCAAATCTCCACAATATATCGATCTATGAAATCCCAGGGGCCAAATAATCCAAGTCCTCTATCATCCTCCTTCTCGGATTCGAAAGTCGTCGACCTCAAACTAAGGGATCACCAAACTGTTTCAGCGGGAGTTCTCCAAAGCCTCAAGAAGGCTTGCCAGAAACTCGAGAAACGTATGGTTGAAGAAGAAGAGGATAGAATGTGGAAGCTGATGGAAGCAGGGAAACCAGTTTGCAGAGCAAAGCGGTGGAGAGGAAGCAGTCCTTCGGGCTGAGGGGACTCGGATGAATAAGTGGAGATTGAAGTTTTTTACACTCATTCTCATGATTTGGATGACGCAATTTGCTTGATTATGGTGTGGCTACACCGTGTACAAATATTTGGAACATTAGGTTAAACCTATCATCTAAGAGCGTCAAGTGTTTGAGGAGTTATAAATGTTCGAAAATATTTTAATATTCGAAACACAGCGTTTTCAACCTGTTGTTTTTCTTATGCATCAATTAAACTATACTAAAAAGATCATGGCTTATAATTCCATGTGACTTCAGTAAATTGAAAAAAATTAATTGTTGGCTTCAATTTAGAATTTTTTTAAACCCTAATGGTGGATGAGTCCGCTTCCCGCTACCTGCAGTCTAGCCCAAACTAGATGACTAATAGACTTTCAACTGAAAATGTATTAAATCCTTCAAATTTGTCTCCCTCCTCGTAATTTTGTCAAAAGTATCAATAATCATCAATTACCTACTCCTTTAATCCATCATAGAATGTGCGGACTATCTCACAATAATTACATCTTGATACATTTCGGGCATGTAGAGCTATTTCGGTAACTACAAGCCGTCGTTTCCTGTTGAATATTCCGTGCCAAACCAGAAAATAAAATTTTAACATTTTAGAATCTTACTATGAAGATCTGAATAAACTGATTCCATAATCGTGTTCATAGACCTAGAGCCTCACAATAATTTTCCTAAGCTCAACTAACTTGGAATTTGCACCTCAGCCGAGGGACCTTGCTATACCGAAGCAGAAGCTCATTTCCGGTAACTGGAAGCCCTCTTCCTCACACAACATAACCTCGTCAAGTGATTGATATAGATTGAGTTTTTGGGCATTTGCTCAATTCTAAGAACTTCGAGATAATGCCCGATCTTGAGGGGTTCTCAAACATCACTATAGTCGATATGTGTGACATATTTAGGCGTCTCATTGAGAGTCAGAAAGTTATATTTCTGAATAATCCTGAGAAATCCTTCATATTGCTATGCTTGTTTTCCGATGTTGGCAAAGTTGCAGATTGGACTTTAAAATCTCTTATAATAGTGAAATTAGAGGGTTGTAGGGTGTTTAGTTGAACTTTGAGCAAGAGGATACCTAGGCAACGTTGTTGTCTGTTCCTCTTGAGGTATTGCCCCTAACTTTATAGTAATTACAGGAAATGAGGAAGGAAGCAACCACTGCTCGGGTAAACCAGTTCGAGAAAGAAGTGTTGATTTTTGGTTGGATAAAAATGCGGGTAGTGGCTTTGGACTATCATTTGTACTCAATTAAAGGATTTCAAGGAAATCTGTTGAATAGTGTTTAGAATTCTACTCTTTATTGCTTAGGCTATGATGGTGTGCAGAAAAATAGTCAGCTCTTGCCATGAAAATAAATGAAATAAAGTAGGAAACTGGCAGGGAAGGAACGGGTGTGTCTTGTTTAATACATAAAACATCTGGAACATTTATTATTTCATGAGAATATGAACTTTATTATGGGTACCTTCTAGAATTTCAAAGGGATAATAGATTAAGCTTGTGAAGCTCTGCAACTAGGGAGTAAAAACCAGCTCGAAACATATCTTTGAAGTGTCAAAGAATCCAAAAAGAAATTCTTTCACAACCAAAATATTTGTGCTAAATTCTGATTTCAAAACACCCAGCCAAGGAAGTGAATCACCCATCTCACACATCTCCTGTATCTATAGAAATTCAAACTCAATGGTAATATCATTAAAAGACTTACCCAAGAATTAACTCTAATAATGAGTATTACATTCGAGCCTTCCCCCCAATATTCACCTAACACAAAATCCCAGATCCTTTACCGAGATCTCTCCTTTCCAAGTAACAAAACACAAGTACGACCACTTCCATCACGCCAAAAACAACATCCAAAACATCAAAAGCAACAACAACAAACCCTCAAGCAATCAACTCCTATCACTTTTTCCGCAGACCATATCATATAATTCCACCACACACACATAAACATCCCCCCCAACCCTCCAAACCCCACCACTCAAATCCCCTCACCACCATGTCCCCAACCACACTCCCAACCGATATAACATCACCCGATATGCGCCGAGCATCCGATAAATCTCTCGCTCCCGATGAAAATAGCGTCACGGCAATAAATATGCGTAATCGAGCTATTCTTTACGAAACGAATCATCCGGATTATATTTTCCAGCCTTCGGTTTTGAATTTGGTTAATTGTGTGGTGAGGATTTTTTTGATTATTCGCTCCTGTTTTTATTTCTACTTTGATGGATTTTTGATTATTATGGATGAAATCTATCTATATGAGTATATGAGGATAAGTTTCCTTTTGTTTGAAGTTTGAGCTATTAGATGGAAAAGGACTGATTTTGTCACGCTACACTTTTGCGTTTGTTTTCTATTTATTTATTTTTCCAAGAATTATTTCTAACAAACTCAACAGCCCAACGACGAAGCTTCCGAAGCTCGATTCTTTAGTCGTGTATCAGAAAGAAACTCCACCACGGCAGCTATTCTCAATGGCGCAGCCGATACACCAGAACCTTCTATCTCGAAACCCACCTCCACCTCTCAACCTCTAGACCCCACCTCTCAAACCCTAGAAACCCCAAGCGAGCAACAAGAAACCACCAATACGGACCCAAGACCTCCCGCTTTCTTCCGCTGCTGCCAAGTTAGTATTATTTCGCCCCCACAAAATCCCCTTCCCAAACAAACTAACTAAAGCCAACCCTCCCACCCCCAAGTGTCAATACACCTCCCTCCCGCCCACCTGCCAACGAAAAGCCGAAGAAATAGGAATTTTACAGACGAAACAACAGCGCGTGCTCGTTGTAAATGCTGAATGTGCACATGCGCGCTGTATGCGTTGTGTTAATGTGGATGAGGATGGTGTGCGTATTGGAGTTAAACCGTGGGAGTTGGAGTGGAGGGATCCTGCTGTTTTGAGGGGGGTGTAAGATATGATTGGTTTTTTTTATAGGAAGGTGCGGGGGATAGGGGTGGAAGGAGGTTGGGGTTTGTGGGAGTGTTGAGGGAGGGAGGGATGGATGGAACATGGGCTCGTAGTTGCTGTTATCGGGGATAGATAGTCTTAGAATAGCTTGATAACTTTTAATGGCTCAAATTGACCTATTGTGTTATGATCTCATTAGCTCAGATCCAATGTCCACATAAATCCAATACTTCGGATAAACTCAATACATCAATTAACCTCGAAATTCAAAACAGGTTTAATGTATAGAAAACTTCAAGAATCAAAAATCTCCCATTTTTTATTGTAGTCTGAACTATCAAGAACTCGACTACCGAAAGATCAATTATCTGCTAATAAAGGCTCCACTTAAATGCCCATGTATTATTATTCTATATGTACGAAACCATTCCAAAGTATATGCAGCAATACGTGCTGTTTTTTCAAATCTATTTACCCCCCAACCAATATGTTCAAGGAGTCTTTTATTACCGGGGAGTCCTGTCTAAAAGTTCTCCACTTTATAACACAGAGCGAAGATCAGCATCTCAATTCTTCAGAGGAAATTCAAAGCGGTCATTGAGTATCTCACTTCTCAGAATAAGTAGCTGGGGTTGCATCCCCTTCTACCTCGGGTACCTGAAGTTGTCCATCCGGTTCTTGTCGGAGCCCTTCTGCTGGTGCTCCTTCACTTTCTACAAAATGTGATATGCGTTCTCGAGGAAGCCATGCTCCTACTGGTGTGAACCACCAGGATATTACAGCTAGGATTGTGACTCCTGCCATGATTATTGGCGCATCTAAAATATGTCAGTATATTATCAAGCGACGAGTGCGTTCAGGAATGATCGAGAGATACTTACAATTCAAGGTAGCTCCAGTGACAGGAAATGAATAAGGACTGAAAAGAATGGCCACAACCCAACCGTTCCAAAAAATCGAGATGAATTGAAATGGCCTGCTCCATCTACCTAAACTCCATCTTGGCTTGGGAAATGAATTTGGTGTCAAGAAAAATCTTCCAAAAGAAATAAGTCCATATGCTGCGGCTGATGGAACACCAGCAGCAGAGATAAGAGATGTGAATGCGACTGCAGATGGTAAGATTGTACAAGTCACAAGTGAAGCGCAGCCCCAGATTACGAGAACGGCATTACGAGGTTGACCTTCGGCGGAAACACGTGATACCCACCCCGAGAATGGAAGAACACCATCACGAGCTACCGCAAAAACAAGTCGAGATGCGGCGACAATGGCAATTGCAGTGTTGAACCAAAGTGCGACTACAGCAATGACGTTCATGAAGATGTGACCACCTTTTCCTAGAACAACGGCATAAAGAGGTACGAACGGTTGAGGCGAACCGTAAGAGAATAATGTATCTGGATCCGGTGTGCAGAAAAGAAACAGAATGATGGCGGCAAATCCTCCGATTCCACTTACAATCACACTCCAGAAGATACCTCTGGCGGCTGTGATGGAAGCATCCTTTGTTTCTTCGGCAACATGTCCAGAAGCATCGAATCCAATAAGGATACCTGCAGTAGCGAGATAAGATAGACACCAATTCCACCCCGCAGGCGCACCGGTCCCATTGTAGGTTGTCATGAATGCCTCCTCTGCAGTGCGGAAACCGATGGTTCTGGCAGCTCCAATTGGTAACCAAATGATATTGAGAAGGAAGTCAAGCATTACCAGGAAGCTCGAGATCCAAAAGACGTATTTGAAGAGACGAGCTTTTCCAATGCGTCAGTATTTAACAGTGGTTTGAATGAGATGTGTCAACTCACGTGGGAGAAAATTCACAATTGCGGCTAGTGCAAGAAGGACTTCAGTACAAATCCATTGGACAGCCCGGAACTTGATGTCACTGGTATCCGTTGGAAAATCTACATTGAAAACAACGATTTCCTGTTTAAAATCAGATAACTTCCAGTACTTGGCAATCACAACTCATAGAGTCGAGAGAGTATCACGTGTATATTAAACTTACTGAAAGCATGTAATTTACAGCTCCTTGGGTGTTGCCTGCAAGTAATCAGAATAGATACCTTCGGGAGTGATAAAGTTTGAGATGAACTTACTTGCACAAAATGTCATCCAAGCAGTGGTACTCCACCAAGCAACTACAAATCCTAAAAATCGACCATACTTGGCTCCCCCAGCTTCAGCTGCCCAAAGATAGATGGAACCAGCAGAGGGTGATGCAGAACAAACTTCTGCTATAACTGCCGCAGTAATGAAGGTAAAAAAGCATGTTACAAGATAACTCGTCCTAGATTTTAAGAATGTTAGAAATTATATGAAAAGTTCTAGATTCCGGGGGGCGTGGCTTACCAATAAGCTAAGGGACCCCCAGAGGCGATTCCGGTGGTGTAAGTAACTCTCACACCACCAACGAAGTACAAGGCAGCGAATGATGTTGAAAAATTTTCCATGAGAGTGTATGTTCGATGTAAAACCTACATCATTTTGTGAGTAATGTTATTACCTCCATGATTTCGATCCTCGAATAAATTTTCAACTCACGGGTTTGTAGCCAAGTGTTTCCTATACTCAGGGGAGATAAGATCAGCTGAAAGTCTTCATACATAATTGATGATTTGATATCCAAACCAATTATTACTCACCAATTGAGCATCATCTCTTGCCTCGATTATGACACTCTTACTATCCTCCCCATCGCGAACCATCTTGCCAATTGCTACTTGACTAAGGTACCTGCCAGTTAATACTTGACTAAGGTTACCTATTAATGAATGAATGGATGGTCGAAAATGATTGAAGCCAAAAAAAGAAAAAAAAATGAGAAGGCTGAGCAAAATGTAAGATTACCTTTCTAGTAAATACTAGCTAAGTAAGTACCCAGGATGTAAGATATAGGTATAATAAGTACCTACCTATATAGTATGTACTGCGCCGTTTCATTCCCGAGAATCTCCGCTACAAATCACGTCAAGCACAGCGGGAAGAGATTTCCAGCCAATGCACTAGTGAGTGATTGAATTTAGCCGGGAACTTCAAATGGTCGGTCCGTTTTTCATGGATGCGCTTATTTGAGTCGTTTTTAAGATGCATCTTGGGAAATATAATTGAATTTGATGTGATGAAAATAAGTAATTTATATCTGTTATGATATTGAAAATGAGGATGAAACCTGTGGAATAGTTTTAATACAAAAGATCGGTTATGTAATCATCAATTTGGATGGATATCATCGAGCAACTTTGCATGTGATGTGTTATGTTCGATTGTGCCCCCGCTTTACCCCACCTTGAAGCATTCTCTAACAATGACTGTATAGCCCAAAACAAAACCGTCCCAGTATATTCAAATGATGAGTTTGTGTGGTGTTGTGGTTTAGTGGTATAATTCTTGCTTAGGGATATATCAGTCGTTAAGATTGATTCTCCATGTAAGAGGTCCCCGGTTCAATCCCGGGCAACGCCCCTTTTGCCTTTTTTGGTCCTGCTCGCCTCCCTCGCATGACTAATGAAGGAAGGAAGTGTTAGAGGTAGGTAGAGTTTCGATTCTTGTAGTGTATCATGTTGATCTTCCTTCGATGCTAGCACAGAGAAGATGTTTGAGATCTCTCACCCAGCATATGTGGTTGAACCTTACTTCAAATGTTGTATGAAGTCACATTGTTCATTATGGTATGTTAAGACTCCCGGCATCATTTAAATTTTACCTCTTTGTAAGATGATCTAACTTAAAAGCCAAATGGATGCATACTTCTCCTTCAAAGCTTCGACTCCACATCTTTCGCTAATATTACTTTCCCTTTTAAATTATATCGAGCGCAGTGTTTTGGGACTTCCAAGTGGAATTACTTTTAGTGGCATTCCATCATTCCTAGCGCCGTTGCAGGAAACCTCTAGAATTCCATGAGATATCGTGACCGGGATGTGTCTAAGTATTTATGAAGGAACAAATTATTTTCCATCTCACCTGCTTGCAAAAGTCTTGTTTCTCAAACCTTATTTCGCCACAATTACTCGACCCATATCAAATCGGACCTTCAGTTTGCTGCTCTAAAATCGACTTCGAAATCAATTCCAAGTATGAGGACCTATCTCATCGTGGTTGCTTATTCTGATTTATTATATTTCCTGGTATGAAAAGGCCATTGGCGAACTAGATCAGAATAACAAATATGTATGAAACCAATTTTCCATTTCTGCCATACCCCTTACTTGCTTCTAAAACTTTTGAATCCAGGAATTTTCTTGCATTCAAACCTCCGAACTGCTCTTTCTTAATAATTATATCATCAAATCTTGCACCATGACTTCATTCACCGACTACCTCCTCCCAATCTACATCATAGGAGAAACCATACGTGCAAATTACGCATATTTCGCTCTTCATACAGCTCCTCAAATCACACCATCATTGATTGCACTTCTTTCCGAAACCTTAAAACTTGCCATTGCAGCGATCATTATCAATCATTCAGATGAAGGACTTGCCTCTGTACAAAAAAAGTTCAACAAGAATGGTTTCAAGGATATTTTACCATATGGCGTCCCTGCTGCCTTTTATCTCACGGATAACCTGATATATTTCACGGCTTTACCATCCACATCACCGAGTTTTCTTCAAGTATGCATGCTTGCGAAAATTCCCGCGACTGCAATCCTGCACCATCTTTGGATTAGAAAGCAAGGCAACAGTCGATCATGGATATCTCTTGGGGTTCTTTGCTTCGGGCTCTTTCTGTTCAACATTCCCTCAGGCGATAATACAAAAGGTTGGCTTGTTGCTCCCATGGCAGGATTGGTGATAGCAGTGTTTTCTGCAATTGCCAGTATTGCTAGTGAGTCTCTCACCAAGATTGGTTCATTTTGGGAATCGCAACTATGGCTTTACCTCTGGGGAGTTTTCTTCTCTATCGTTTCATACCCTATCGCTACCAGCATGTCGACTGATCGGGGAACGAATTCGAACATTTCAATGACATCTACCATAACCATTGCGATATATTTCGCATGTCTGACCTCTGGTGTTGGTTTGATTGTGGCTGCTATGCTCAGGAAAAAGGATAACTTGATGAAGTTGGTTGGGACTTCTATCAGCTTGCTTACCATAGCAGCAACTCAGTACGCTACATTTCCAGAATTGAGAATACCAGGTTTCACAGCGTGGAAAATAACAGGCGGCTTGGTCGTCATGATTTCAACTGTCTTCTATAATTATTTTAAGGATACGTCTCCTGAACAGGCAAATTTGCTCAGCCAGCTACTTCCAGCCTCAAACGAAGACATTAACGATGGCGAATTCTCAGGACCCGAAAAATCGGCTACTGCATTGGCCTTAGCAAAGCTTTTCTCGTGGGTTCCTTCTGCTCGTCCAAGGTCCTCGTCCGCATCGTATGGATTGGTAGAAATGAGGGATATGGAGACTGAAGATGTTCCACCATCTACCAATAAAAACGAAACTTAAGACTGAGAGATGCGTTTCAACGGCTGATATTGGTCAGAAAGTAATTGGTAAACGTAGGAAGTCTCGGAAGCTCAAATCTCTGGAATTGAGGATTGAAAGTATCGACTTTTGATTAGGAGCTTTTGTCACGGTGTTGTAGCCTTTTGCTACTAGTTTACATAGCAATTCATGGATTTTTTTTGCACGGTTATTATTCTCCTAACGTATTAAGCAGATGACCCTATCTCTATTCTTTCGGTTTATCAAACCCCATTTTTCTTTCTGCAAAGGCTCAAATCAAGGCCGTATTGATTTATTTCTTGCCATTTACGTGACCCTTTCGACAATTTATCATCCAAGATAAGTCTCCTATAATATTTCATCTCATAAAATTCGAGTTTTTTCCATGCCCTGAAAGGTTGACTCTCGACTTTCTCAAATGGTTGATCTGTCAGAATACAGTGACCTTTTTTGTTTTAGGCCAAATTCTCAAGTTTTATAATCTTCATCCCTATAATTTAGAGACGAGGCAGATTGGAGATGTTTTTCGTTATTTAGGTGATAATTTTTTCGATTGAAAGCGTATAAATGGCGTTAAATTAGGGAACTTATAGATAGCTTCTATGGGCTTTGTTATGTATATGCAAGTCATTCCGCTTTGCAAGTGCATGCCATGAGTTCTATGTAATTCCTCAAAAATATACAAGATTAATTGAATCGGATCTGCCAAGCTTGCCTCATTTCTAAAACCATACATTATTCGCCATTCTGATTTCTTTCATAATCTGATACACACCACACTCCTCTTCTTTCGCATTCATCCTGCATTTCACAATCCAGCATCATCAGCACTGATGTCAAATGTTTTACGATTATCCTTCAAATAGTCTAAATCAACTTCTTCTAACCCGCCATAGACGCCCCTTTTAGAGACGGTAGTCTATGCACCATCTAATCACCTCATCAATAAAAATCTAACCAGCACCACCCAAGCCACGGGGACTAGCTCTCCTCATCGTGTTCCCCTTCTGATGGGTATTCTTAGACAGCATCGCTCAATCTTGCTACCAATAAAGTCATGATGGTAACAACGCAAACAAATACGGACAATAACGGGCAAAACTTTTGCAGGGGGTCACGCCTGCGCTACCATTTCTGGTATTAGGATGTTGTGTCCGGTTATTGTCATGTAATCTTACATACGATAATTATATGGATAATGCATATATGAGGAATATGATTTCGGAGACGCCATTTATTGAGAATCTGGGGATTTTGGTGGTGGGGTTTTAGCTGGACTGAGGTTTGATACGAGGGTGAGGCACGATAGGATGGTGGGGGGATGGATGAGAGGCAGCTGCTATTTGGAAAAGAATTTTGTTGGATATTCTGAAGTTCTTACTGATTTATGAACGACAGGAACTGTTTACCATAATATTACAGATGATAAGGGTGGAAGGGATAAATTTATCGGTGGTAAGCATGTGTTGGGTTTCTTGAGACTAGAAAGAGCATCAGATTGAATTGACTTATTCTCTAGCTAAGCAGTTAAGCTGCGAGCATATATTCAAAAAATGAAGGAATAGGTTGGGTATTCGGCCTTCGGAATTAAAGTGCTTTGAAATCAAAATATTGAAAGCAAACAAACAGTATACCAAAAAGGAAAGAATGAATTAAAAGTTGAGTTTTGTTTGCTCCTTATATGCATATGTACTATATATGCATATGCTGCCAAGATCCCAGGAGGTCAACAGCATGCAACGCCTAATTTAATTTCCTTATGCTTGTGATATGCAGATGTTCACTTCAGTAATTTGGCTTTTTGATATTGTTTATCTAATTTTTTATTATCAATTTCTTTTCATCAGAAATAAGCTCAAGTGGACTATTATTTTCATCTTATTAGATTTGTAGTAAAGCTCTCTCTTTGTGAAGGCGCGTGACCACGCGGTAAGTCACGACTCACCAGATGCTGAAAAGCGCAAGGTCTCAATTACGGATCTCGCCACTTCAGCCAAAGCCAAAAGTTGAACAAATTGATAGCAAAAGCTCAGGACTTCTTCCCTCTTGTCCCTAATTTTCAATTAAATATTTGCATTCTCAAATTCGATAACCGTCGGGTGCAAAATCTAACTCTATGGAGCTACGTGACAGCAAATGATGAATCTCTGCAGGATGACAGACTTGGCAAAGTTTTAAGCAATTCTCTAGCTCAACAGTTCAAAGTTCAAGTTTTAACAGTTTTCACTATATGATTTGAACTAAGAAG